TTTCACTTGATCGGTCCATCTGGTTGGTGAACGGCCACGTGATCTTTTGCCTTCTGTGTTACCAACCACGATCAGTTTCTCCAAGTTCTCATCGCCTCTGCGCATTGTATGGCCGAAGTATAAGTATGTTATAATTCGCCTCTGCCTATGTACAGGCGAGTTCGTATGCCATGTTGGGTCAAGATCGATTCGCAGACCACGGTGTTCTTCGAGCACCACATCTCAAAGTCATCAATCCTTTGCCTTTTTTGAGCCAAGATGGTGCCCGTTTCTTCTCCATACAGGAAGATAGGGAACACTAGATCCCGTATCAGTCTGATTTTGGTTTTGATAACAATTCCTCTTTTCTTCCAGATGTTGCATAAACCTGTCATGGCATCTTTAGCAATGCTGACTTGTCTTTTTATCTCGGGGACAGTTTAATTGATAATTTCAGGCAATTAGTCACTGTAATTAAAACTGTGTCTCAGAAGCCTACGATTAGTCATATACAAAAATAAACATTTTAAATTTATGATAAGTTTTATAAATTAACAATATTTAATTTTTTACTTATTCCGTATAGTTTAGTAGATATTCCACATATAAAAATCAATTATATATATTTTCTAACATTTAGATTAATTCGTAAAGCTACTACTATACTTAGTTTTTAGGGATATTTTGTCTTTAACCCATGGGCACGGAGGAGACATTTTTCCATGTATATTTAATTGATAATGTCAGTGAAATTTAGACAAAAGCTATATAATGGGACATCAAGGGAAAGCACCTTAAATATCGTAGATAGGATATTTTTCTGAGAGAAGACTTTATTATATTATTATATATTTTAAAAAGTAAGTATTACTGCATTTCTTCTTGACCGCTCTACGCCCTTGACCTGCGAACTGGTAGTAAATTTAGGATTAATTTAACTTCTTTTCTGATGTTCATAAGTGTACTTGTTTACCTATATGAATAAAGTTATTTTGAGTTTGAGTTTGAATACATAATTAAGCTCTAGTTGACCGCACTTTGCGTTCGTTCTTTGCTCCATTTGTCTAGCGTCCTGAAAGATGTTCAGCCAGTTGATCAAACAGCTAGGCATGACTTGGATCGATGAGGTTTCATTACTTGCCTAGTCTGTTGACTGTTAATTTAACTTTAATTCCACTTTCTGCCACTCTCTAACTCGAAACGAAACTCTTTAAACTGTCAATATGGCATCGGCAAACCACAACTTTGATGGTTCCAAAGTTTCATGAAAAACAACAAGTACAATGAAAGAGTGAAGTGGCAATATTAATGTGAATTTGACTCAAGCAATTTAATTTAAAGATTATTTTTTGACACCGACTTGCCTTAGACCAAAAAAGTCGACGACATGTGTCAGGCACAGGAGGCTGATCACCTACTTGCCTAGTAGATTGACAAATGATCATGAAATATACAGAAATCTGAAGCCCAGACACTGTAGAAAGGTTGTAGCGCCACTGATTTTTTTTTTATTTATAAGAATCAAAATTCGCTTTGATAATACAAAAAGAAACTAGATAGATAATAAGATTTTATGAAAACGTGAAAATCAAAATTCTTGCGTATAATTACGAATATAATGATGTCATCAATTCAGTAAATATTTCGAAAATATTTTTTTTGACTCGTGACACTAATTATAAAACGTTCTCGTATAAGTTTCTGATACTTTAGTAAAATAGTAATAATACCCACGCTACATACGGTAAAAGGTAGAAGAGCGTATTACTTTCTCCATTGCTTGGGTGATTCATATCTTACTGGGTCATACTATACGCAACGATAAATGCTTACAATAACTATTGCGTCGATTACTAGTTTTTGAAAAGGAAAGTGATTTAAAACGCACTGAGGTTCAAGAAATTTAATTTAATATTGCCTCCGCGAACTTCTAATTTTTTTATTTAGCCTACCTTTTAGTACATAATAACATATGGAAGATATTGCTATGCTACCCTATAGAGCAGTGTGTCCCAACTTTTTTTGTGCCATGTCCCACATAAAATTCTTATGCTCCTCCTATATAACATACATAGTGTTTATATTAAAAAACATAAAAGTTCACTTAAGAAACTTAAATGATAAATTTTAGTAAGAAATTCGGTTCAAAGATACTTTATTTCTCAAAGAATTACATTCACTTAGCGAGAAAATTTAGAGTAAGTTAGTTATGTACATCGTGTTATGAAATTATTTGAAAATATACTATATAAAATAAAAATATTAGTTTCTAACAATATGTACCATATTTGTTACAAAAGTGCAGGTAGGTCGCATCGATGTTACAACAGGCATTATGTGACAATGAATAGTAATAATTTCTAAGACGCTTGTTCGCAGACATAAGTAAATGCTAGAATAGCTTTTTGATGTTTTGTAAATACATTAATAATTATTCCATTAATTCATATTAAACTTTTACGATTGTTACAGACACAGATATAGAATATGGTTGTTTTTATTTTTGTTATTTTATAGGTATGTTGTTAATTATATGTACTTTTAAAAGTTTTTTTAAATTTGGGAAATTACTATTGTTAACGATACACAGTAAGTAAATTTTCATATAATGAAAAACTGAAATTTAAATTTCTAATTATTTCGATTCAGTGAAATCCTTACGCTTGATGCTTTTAGCTACTTCCCAAGTCTCCACGTTGTGTATTATCCAGCCGATTTCGATTGCCCCCCTTAACAATCAAATTGCCTACCTGTGGAGCATGAGTCCCACGTTGGGAAACACTGCTATAGAGACTGTTTGCTTTTCCGTAATATAAACATAAGTAAAAATTTTCCATAAAAACCTTCAGAGTTCAAGGAAAAAAAACTTGAATTGGTCCAATGTCTTCGAGTTTTACGCTTAGCAACATATTTTGCGATTCATTTTTATTTATATAGATATAACAGTTTAATTTAAGAGTCGAGCCTTAATCTGATACTTGCTTTTTTATTATTTTCAATTCTTACTCAGTCAAAAAACAAGAATAACAAGTCTTTTTGTAACAAATATTAATATTTTTTTAAAATTTAGTTAAATAAAAACTTGGTGATTATTATGAATGGCGGAGAACTAATACCCAGCTGTTGGCGTCCCTTTACGCTTGATTTCAGTGGTGAACTGTAAATAATAATAAAAAAATATTTTGATGACGTAAAGAATCCCGAATGTCAAAGACAGAAAAAAAAATCTGATTATGTTTCATGATCAATTTTCAATCTAATAGGCAAGTAGGTGATCAGCCTCCGGTGTCTGACACCAACCGTCGACTTTTTTGAGTCCAAGACATGTCGGTTTCCTCACGATGTTTTCCTTTACCGTTCGAGTGAATGTTAAATCCTTAGAAAGTCCATTGTTGCACAGCCGGGATCGATATTACGACCTCAGGGATGAGAGTCGCACGCTAAAGCCACTAGGCCAACACTGCTCAAATTGGTATTACACCTGTAATTGGTGCGCTAATGTATTAGAATAGACCTATTTTTTTCAACAGAAGGGTTTGAGTATGTCCTGTAAAATTTCGTCTGCTGGACATGTGCCCTTCTCAAAATTACCGATTCAATTGTTAAAAGGCAAGATATTCTGAGTGTCCATGGGGTTGATATCACGTAAGTCGTAACATCAGATGGCACGGCTACCCGTTTGCCAACAATTCTTTAAAAATGACAATCATTTCATTTCTGAATTCTTACTCTCAAAAGTAACAAAGACGTAAAAAGTATGAAATTGGACCATTTGTAACATTTAATTTTATTAGGTACTAAAAGATTCAAAATTTTGTTATACAATCTTTGTTTCTGTTACAACTTTAAAACCATATAATTAATCTCTTTGTACCGACTATTAACAGGTATACAACTAAAAAAAACAAGATAAAAGAACACAACGAAACAATACATATATTCTATCTTCCTATAAATCTCTACTGTACAATCATTACCTGTACACATCGTATCCCTAACTTTCGTACTAACTGATGTGAAACTGTTCTAAAATTATCATGATTCATGTGCACCTTTTCTTTTTCATGTGTCCTTTTTTTAATATTGTTCTGATCACGGTAACATTGTTTAATTGATTTGTTTTGTTCCATTAGTTTTCTCTTAATAACTATATGTCTTATTTTTGCTCTTCTTGCTTACCTTATCTAATTTTGTCAAACTCAAACTAAGTTTATTCATACAGGTAAACAAGTACGCTTATAAACGTCTACAGATAAGATGTTAAATTGATTCTAAATTTACATTTCGTAAGTTCCAAGTTACCAGTTCGTAAGTCAAGGGCGTAGAGCGGGCAAGAAGAACTGGCAAGAAACTCTCCGCCACCCTTTTTGATCGCTAAGTTTTGAGTCAAATTTTTTGAAATGGAGCAAATCAATCTCAAGGATTAGGATCATTTAAATATTCGCCAAATATATAAAAGCTTTACTTTTTTTTCTCACAGTGGTTGACTGGATAAGATCGCTCGAAAGCGACAAGGCCGCCACTTGCCCTCCATTTTATTTAATTATGTCATTTATATTATGTTTCTGCAACGAAATGTTAGTAAAATAATAAATAAAAGTAATTTTACAAATAAAACAAAAAAATTATATAAATGTTAATGCAAAATCAAAATTCGGATCTGGAATCGTATTGCTATTTTTTTAAATTATTCAGTAATATTAAATTAAATTTGACGGCTCATTGGTCTAGTGGTTACTACCCCTGTCTGCGAATCCATGGGTCCCGCGTTCGATCCCCGGCTGAGACAAACATCGATGTGATGAGCATTTGGTGTCTGGGTGTTTTAATTATGTATATATATGTCTATCTATCTATAATATATATGTATATCCGTTGCCTAGTACCCATAATACAAGCTTCACCAGCTTAGCATGGGACTAGGTCAATTGGTGTGAATTGTCCAATCATAAAAAAAAATATATTATATTGTTACTTGATAATAAAAGCTTGGGTTTTTTCATAATTTAATATTATTACAGCGGTCACGGCGGCTGTCACGATGCCCGGAGGAGGGAGTGGACCTCCTGGGACGCCATCAGCTAAACCCAAAGTGAGTAGTTTTATCTATAGGTCACAATCTTGGGTACTGTCAAATATGTCAAATTTCATACAGAAAAATGGTTTGACTGCTATTGAAACTTAAGTTTGATTGACGTTCTAGAACACGGGCCTAACATTTTTGTATGTTTGTAAGAAATAAATTCGAAAACTATAATTTTTTTAAGTTATACCTCTTTTGGCGCGTTAGGGAAAAATGATAAATTTTTACGATGCCCGCGCACACCGTCACAAAAACCGACACCCTAAAGTTAGCTATAGTCAACATTTGAGTTTTTTCTATTGTAAGTGTCGTTTCTTCTACAAAGGTAGAATAAAAAGTTTAAAAATATTTTTATCTTGTTACGCCAAAGAAGTATAACTTCTAACGCGTGTACATAAGGACACACACGTTTTTATTACCTTTAGAATGTGTTATCCCTGAACAGGCAAATTGCAAAATGTCAAAGAAATCGATTTTAGAAGTAGCTTAAATATTAATAATATTTTAATTTTAAAAAGATCTTAACATAATTGAAGAGAGTGTCGTCTTAGATATCACAATTTAAATATGAGTATTTAAACAAAACTCATACCCCAATTAACTTGTTTAGTCATAGACAATGCCTTGCCAGACTGCCAGATTGGCCTCCTGTCTCATAAAAAATCTGTGATAGTGACCTAATTCTAAGAACAAAGACTATTCAAAATCTATTTGGGGTATTTAGTATTAATACTAATAATTGATGATCGGAACTTAAAATGGTGGTGGTCGCGCATGGACAAGACTCGAAAACTCTTTAAATTGAGACGGCAGCACAAACCGCCTGGCCGATAGACAGTCGAAATCCAAAAGCATGTACTGGCTGCAAAAGCCGCAATGCCTGGAGATGAGAGAACCACGTCCATTGATGAAGAAGAATAGGTCATGATAATATCTTTACGATTTTTTTGTTCTTCTAGGAAAAGCGGACCAAAGTCGTCGTAGCTCTGTACCCCTTCAAGGCAATTGAAAGTGGAGATCTCTCTTTGGAAAAGGTAATAAAGCGAGTTAAGTTCGGTGGCGGTGGTTGTATGGATATGTTCAATATGGTAAATGAAACACTTTGTTTGAAGGGTAACAACTGGCTTTAATTGTTTGAAACATGCGCTTATTACTAAGATAACATTAGGGGTTGCGACGCTGGATTAACAAAAAACTAACTTGACTGTTCGTAAATCTAAGTGAAATTTATGTTATTGGACATTATCGGATACGAGAATGTTAAATGACTAATTATGAGTGTGGTAAAAAGTAAAGGGCTCATATTGGCTTCAAGTGTGCGATGATTTTTTACATTCTGTTTAAGCTTTTAATTATTAACTAATATATATGTTAGACCTAACTTGCGGAAAGATTTTTTTTGTTTGTAATCAATAAACTCTGTAACGATTTAAACAATTCTTTCATCTATAGAAAACCACTATCGAGTAATATAATTGTAGTAACGGGAAAAATATTTTTTGCCGAGATTTCGTCTCTTCGTTCTATCGCGCTTTCTGAAACATGGATTGTTTTTGGGCTGAATAAACCATTTATTAAAAAATATAAATACCTATTAAAAATGATCACGGAACAGATACAGAAATTTGAGGCGAAGACCTAAAAGGTTGTTGGTAAAACCGCAGGGTATATTTAATGTTAAATAATGTTTCAGGGTGCAGAATATGAAGTGATAGACGATTCGCAAGAGCATTGGTGGAAAGTGAAAGATGAAAATGGGTGAGATAATCGAAATAAATTGTAACATAGTTCTTTTATTAATATTTTGGTATTTTAATTACTAATAAAAGTATTATTTTAGTCTCAATGTATACAATAAGCAATCATTTAGTAAGATGTGTTATAAATATCAATAAATATATCTTTATATATAATTCTACTGTACGGGTGTATGTCACTGAACTCTTAAACGGCTGGACAGATTTCAATGAGTTTTTTTGTATGCGCCCTGGATGGTTTAGATAAACTAAGCGCATATGGCGCTTCAGTCGGTATCTAGGTTATTTATCTATACAGCAAATAAACAGCTAGTATATAAATCTTAATATATATATTTCTTCTGTGCGTGTGTATGTGACTGAACTCCTCTCAAACGACTGGACCGATTTTGATGAAATTTTTTGTGTGTGTTCAAGGGGATCTGGGAATGGTTTAGATTCACAAATCAGCCCGGCAGATGGCACTGCAGTCGGTACTTTCATACTTTGCTTAATATCCTAATCGCTTTAAATATCATGCAGGACAACGTCTGTGGGGTCCACTAGTATATATATATATAAATCTTCTTTGCAAGTGGCCGTAATTGAACTACTAAACGGCTGTACAGATTTTGATGAAGTTTTTGTGTGTTCAAGTAAAGTCGAGAATGATTTACATTATTAGATATTTAATTGTATGTAAGTCGCGTGTACTAGTTAAACAAGTTAAGTCAAAAACTTTGATAATAATGTTCTCGGAGCTAATTCGTCTATGTTTATCTCTATTGAGGATGGTGTTTTACTTTCCCGTCTGAGATTCGAACCCGAGACTTGATAGATCAATTAGCTCCTAGAGTATTTCCTACAACACTTAAAATGTCGGTAATACATTATATTTTTAATTTTCAGATCCGTTGGATATATTCCAAGTAATTATGTTAAGGAAAAGGAAACGATAGGATTGCAAAAATACGAGTAAGTATGTTTTTAATTAATACTCAGAGTCAATCATTATTAATAAACTGGTTGTTTTAAGTATGTCCTTTTCACAACGGGACAAATTACTAAAATTCCAGACCAGAGACGCGTCAATTTTTAAATAAAAGGATGATCATTATACAACAACATTAGTCCATAAATTACGTGAGATGTTTTTTTAAATTTTCTGTCCTTCGCTCCCCCCTGGTGAGATGTCGTGAGATTTTATTCAACCCCCTCTCCCATCCCCCAATCTTACGTGAGATTTTTCAAAATGTGGGTTTCTTAAGTAAACGCGTTGGATTGTTATTGTAAAAAAAAATTGCTTCGTGCTTTTATTTTCGACTAAAACAAAATAAGTGAAATGTTGAGTAGGTATGGAGTTAGCGGGAAGTTGCAGAAATGGCCTTTAGGGTCAACCGTTTTCCTAGTCTTTTTTTCAATCAGAAAAAAAATTGCGTGTTATTTGCCGAGACCCCCCCTCTCTCCGACGTAAGATTAAATGAGATTTGCCTCGACCCCCTCCACCCCTTAAACACCTCACGTAATTTATGGACGCCCCCTTACAGTATTAAACATATTTCTTTGTTAACAGCGAAGTATTGGAACTTCTTGTTCTCTTCTATCTTTCATAAAGATTAGAAAATGATTTCATTCCGTCAAACAAGCACTTGCTAGACGGGCTTGCACTCCAATAGGCGTAACTATAACATCTGGGGCCCGTGGTAAATTCTTTTGATGGGCCCCTATCACTAAAAATCGTCATGTTGTACTAAGTTTAATTTTAATTAACTTCGAGATTTTCAGCGTACTCAATTACACGTTGTATATGTCCCACTAATGGCCATAGGCCTCCTCTCTTAGTCGTGAGGGAATGGTCTGTAGTCCCTGCGTATTGGATGGAGACTTCACATTCATAGAACGTAATATCTCTTGGGCAGGGGCCTTCTTGGGTCGGGGGCCCGTGGCATTTTGCCAGCCCTGCCAAATATTATATTATTGTTACGCCACTGACAATAGGCATATCTTGCAAAATTTGCTGGTTCGAATCGGCAGCAGCAGTAGGGTTGCTAATAAAATTAGGGTACGGTTTGCCTCTGATTTTAGGGTCGTGTGTAGACGCTTTGGTATATATATATTCCATTTTTCAAACAATTGCACGTACCGTATTTCGGGCTGTTGTACAATGGGCGGGCGGTATCACTTGACATCAGATGAGCCTCTTGCCCGTTTGTTCCGTTTGTTCTATAAAAAAAAATACTATTATCCGTTAAACGTTTTGATGCTAAAAGATTACTAGAGTACTAATATTGCTATTAAAAATGTGGGTTGGTAGAACTGTAAGGGTAAAAGAAAATTTACAAAAAATGAAGGTAAAACACTCAGGAGGGGTTTGAAAAATTGTTTACGATCTAAGTCCGGAGGATTTTAATGACACCAGAATTTTATATCCACTTTTCAGATGGTACGTTGGTGAAATGTCACGACAGCGAGCTGAATCTCTCCTCAAGCAAGAAGATAAGGAAGGATGTTTTGTTGTTCGCAACTCTTCTACCAAGGGAATGTACACGCTTTCACTATATACCAAAGTGTAAGTACTACATAGAGAGCAGAGTGGCTTTAGCGACTCTTATTTTGGGGGTCCTGTTATCAATGGATTGCGCCTTATATTATGCTTAGCATTAACTTGGTCGTGTTTCCGATTATTACGATATTGAATTCAGTTTCTTCCACCAAACATTATCTAGTGAGATGAAAATTCTTTGTCTTTATTTAGTACTAGCTGGCCTGGCGAACATCGTACCGCCTAACAGTCGATTCTTTATTTTTTTAAATACTTATTCTGCTATTCGGGACACCGGTCTAGCTAGTAAGATAAAAAAAAGAAAGTTGATAAGACAACAAATACATTATGTCAAAAAATAAAAATTTACCTTCCCGGAACCCCTCCACTAACACTTGAACTTTATGATATGGTATTAAAGTTCAAATTGACTTTTAAGTATTATTACGAATATTTTGTATGGGAATATAGAAAAGTGTTGTTTTTAGACTTTTTCACTCAATTTTTTTAAATTTTTCTCTCCGTAAGAACCATCCTTGCACTGTAAGGAATATTATAAAAAAAGAATTGACCAAATTGTTCCAGGCGTTGTTGAGTTATGCGCTTACCAACACATTTTGCGATTCATTTTTATATTATAGACGAATAAAAAAACAATGGCTTACAACTTTAGATCTGAGACTCAGATTTCTGTATCTGTTTCATGATCACTTTCTGAATAAATAGGTGACGCGCCCGTGTGTCTTGTGCGTACTTGCTAACACGCATTTCGTATTTCAGTTGTACGGTTTCTATAATAATAATAAGATTTAATAATTTTTTATTTGAACGACAGTATGGTTTTAGACCAAAAAGTAATACTTTAACTGCAACTATTGACTTAATTACTAAAATTAGGACCAACATAGATAATAAAAACATTACGTTAGGTGTATTTATTGATTTAAAAAAAGCATTTGATACTGTAAGCCATAAACTATTACTACAAAAGCTTGAATGGATTGGAATCAAAGGCACAGCTCTCAAAATTTTTCAATCATATTTAAAAAATCGATTTCAGGTAGTTAAAATAGATAATACTCAGAGTAAACCGTTGCCTATCGAATACGGCGTTCCACAGGGTTCTATTTTGGGTCCATTACTCTTTCTTATTTATATAAATAACTTGCATGACACTAGAATTAACGGCCAACTTACTTTATATGCAGATGATACGTGTTTATTTTACTTTGGCAGTTCAATCAAAGATATCTTCAGCAGAGCCCAAGAAGACCTTAATCTACTCTTCACTTGGTTTCAATATAATTTACTCACTGTCAACGCGTCGAAATCATGCTAATTATATTTAAATCTAAAAATAAAAAAGTTTTACCTCATGATCCATTAAAAATAAATAACACGGTCATAGAAGAAAAAAGTACAGAAAAATATCTCGGTCTTAGAATGGATAGCGGTTTGACGTGGAATACACAAATTGAGCACATCAGATCTAAGCTCTGTTCACTTATGGGATCACTTCGACACATTGCTCGGTGTATCCCACGTCAGGTACGTTACACCATCTACAACTCGTTGGTCAAGCCACATCAACTTTATTTAATTGAAGTATGGGGCAGCGCCGCTAAAACTAAATTAATAAATATTCAAGCATTACAAAATAAAATTATAAAAATACTGTTCCAGTATAATTATCTTGCACCTACCATAAATATATATCGAGACACAAACATAATGAATCTAAAACAACTTTATATTTATCACACATGTATTCTTGTAAAAAAATTTATAACAAGCTCTCTCCACACTAGTTTAGCTTTCTCTAAACCGCCACGTGTACGAAGCATGCGTCGAACGAGTTATCTTGCATTACCTAAAGTACGTACGAACTACGGCAAAAAAATGTTTACCTACGAAGGCGCACAGCTGTATAATAAACTACCCACAGATATAAAAAATATTACTTCTATAAATTCATTCAAATCGAAGCTAAGTGAATATGTTAAACAAAATTACTTTTAAATTCATTTCTTATAATTACTTTTAATTCATATTTCTTTGTTTACTTTTATTTTAAAATTTATTGCATGTACGGCTATATTTTATTGTGATTATTTTAAGAACGACTACAATGTTATGTTATCTAGAGTATTATTCTCATGTAAGTGACATTTTGTCTTTTTTGAGAAATAAAGTCTTTAAACCTAATAATAAGATGTTAGATTCGGATTCTAATGATATTATATCTAACACAAACTTCTCGTACGCTTGCCAAATGAAACGAGTGCGACTCTCTTCCCTGAGTTTGTAGGGTCGATCCCCGGTTGTGTACCAATGGACTTTCTTTCAATGTGCACATTTAACATTCGCTCGAACGGTGAAGGAAAACATCGTGAGGAAACCGGCTTACCTTAGACCCAAAAAGTCGACAGCGTCGGACTCAGGAGGCTGATCACCGACTTGCCGATTAGATTAACAAATAATCATGAAACAGATATCTGAGGCCCAGACCTAAAAAGGTTGTAGCGACGCAGCGACTTTAAAAAAAAAACTCGAATCGACATTTAACTACCGAAAATATTCCTCACGTCAAGCAGTACGCTTTCTGACTTGCTATGCCATCAAATTGGTGCCATATAGGCCGGCTACTTAAACTTGAATTATCAATTGCAGCACTCACCCCCAAACCAAACATTACCACATAAAGCACAACGGACGGGGCGAATTCTACCTCTCGGATAAGCATTGCTGTCCGACAATTCCGGACCTGATCAACTACCATAGGCATAATAGTGGCGGACTCTGCTCGCGACTCAAAGCCACGCCCTGCGATCGCCCTGCCCCGCCCACGGCTGGACTATCGCACGGTAAGACTTATTAACCTTTATTGTGATAGCGTGAAAGACATATTTTATCTTCTGTAAATACCAGAAGCGGTAAAAGTATCTATTTTCATTTAGGAATCAATTTATTATTACATTAGAAATAAATTTAATTATTTTTTTGTAGTTATGGTTCACTATTTTGGCTTTAATGCTTTACACATAAGATATAGATATATACTGTGGAGAGCTTTTTTGTAGGAATAATTAAGATAATCATTTCCATCATACATTTCATATGAGTAACTCTAGCTGTTTTGGAAGCGCACGCCAGAATAGCTCTTTTTTTCCTACTTGATATTTTGGACAATTCACACAATATCTTTATAAATTGTAGCCTTTGTGTTATTCTGATGTATAAGCTATATAATTGTAAAGTTTCATTAAAATCCATTCAGTAGTTTTTACGAAAGAGTAACAAACATCCATCCATACCTACAAACATTCGCGTTTATAATATTAGCAGGATTATTTGTTAAATAATGTAATCCTGGTCTTTGTGTCTTATGTGCCTGACACATGTGGTTTTCAGATCCTACGTTTTAAGACGCTTAAGGGCCAAGAATATGATGATGTATCATTATTTATTTTAAAAAAACCTTAAGCTATAAAAATAACTTAAAATTACTATTACGTATAAAAAGGATAATATAATTTATTTGGATTTATAATTGCCACATTGTCAAAATCTATGGAATAAAATTACAATTTAATCTTTATTTCATATGCAAAATCAATAATATACAAAATGCAAAACGCCAAACGCTTTATACTTGCAGCATAGTTGCGGTGATTGCATTACACTAAAAAGATTACATTTCTAGGAATCTACTGAATTGTGATTGTGATAGAACAGGGGGCAAACGGGCCCTGGCTTACCTTATGTTAAGTGATATCCCATATGCCCATGGACACTCAATGCCAGAGGGTTCGCGAGTGCGTTGCCGGCCTTTTTGTTATATATTTATTACATATTCGATGTTATTTATTCCGGAGCTTTTAAAAATATGTATGAATATTTATTTTTCAGATAAGTGGGAGATAGATCCGTCGGAATTAGTATTATTAGAAGAATTAGGGGCGGGTCAATTCGGCGTTGTACGTCGCGGTAAGTGGCGTGGAAGGATTGACACTGCTGTCAAGATGATGAAGGAGGGGACCATGTCTGAAGACGACTTCATTGATGAGGCCAAGGTTATGACGTAAGTCCTTGTCTGATTGCACAGAAGTTATAGAGACGGCTATATTGCCGGACAATTTAGTTTTAACCAGTTTTAACTGGAGGTCTCTTGGTTCATAATTCTTGAGATTTTATTTGATATTATTAAGTAATATTGAAATATCATATTACGTTAGTTAACAATTGCTTACCATGGTCTTTACATATGAAATTGGAGTCTTAAATGAAATTTTAAAAATTCATTTTTACTAGAACAATGAACTAAATAAAAAAATAAAACTAAAATGTGCATGCGTACAAAGTACACATTGAGATTGATTGAGATTTCATAAATTCTCTTTACGAAATTTTAATTTTAAAAATAGAATTTCTATAAGGTAATTCGCCCTTCTCACTCTCTCCCAATCGGTCTCAATCGCTCTCTCCCTTTTTTCGCAAAAACGCTGCACATCTTCGTGACGTCCCGTAAAAAAATTATGAATTTTAAGAGAAATTATGAAATATTAGTAATTTATATTTTATGCAAAATAATTTATTTAAATCTCAAATAACGAATTGTAAATTAAAATACCACGTTTTTTTATTATCCAAGAAATACATATAAAAAAAAATTATATGTATATACTATATATGTATTAATTATCGACACTTAATATTTTAATGACAATTAAATTCATTAAATTCCTAACATATCTTCCTTTTTCCCTCCCTCTAAGTATCGGAAATCTAATGTTTTAGATTTGTATAAATATGAACAAGACTTAAATTAGTGTGCCAAAGAAGTTTGACTTCTGACATGTGCACACACGCACATTTTTTTATTACTTATTTAAAAATTGTTGGACAGTGCCCACCCACTATTACCAATAGAGAAAGTCTCTTAGCCTTACGGTTCCCATTACCCTCAAGGTAATACGCCATTACCAAGTCTTTTATTTCCAGCAAACTCCAGCATCAGAACTTAGTACAGCTATACGGCGTGTGTTCAAAGCATAGACCGATATACATAGTAACTGAATATATGCGACATGGGTCATTGTTCAACTACCTGCGACGTACGTCTCCAGACCAGCTCGGCCCGGCTGTCCTGCTCGATATGTGTATACAGGTAAACTATTTATTTATCAATAGGGAAGTATGACATCACAAATACAAGATTTTTGAAGTTATACTTCTTTAGGCGCGTTATGAAAAATTGATGAGAGTGAAATTTTACGATGCGCGCGCACCGTGACACAAAATTAACAGAATGAAGTTGCCCACGGAAGATGCTACGGCATTGAACATAATTTAAAAACAACATTCGAATAATAATAGAATTTATGTTACACTTAAGGTAAGAGAATTATAATAAATATTTATTTATTTAATTTTTCAAATGTAAATTGAACTTTATTGACTGTAATGACTCCTTTTCCAGTCTTTGATTATTTAATTGTAATTAATAATTTGCATGCAATCAAAAACTATTTTTTAGAGTTACTTTCATCACGACATCAATTTTCATTCATCAAAACAATCAATTTACATTCGACAACAAACGAATTAACAAAAAAATATGGTGGCGCGGGGCATATTCCGTTCAACCAATCAGCGCGCGAGGTGCGATCCGTTTCACAATTTGACCGTTTCACTTCGATAGATTACAATCTACCGAATAATAATACGTTAAATTGTAAGCAGTGCGTTGAGGTTCACAATCATTCGACAGTTCATAATCTCGCGAGATAGATAGATTACAATCTAACGGTGTTTACAATTTTACGGTAACATATACAAGATGTAATCAAGGTACAATAAGAATACTAGAATTTTTTTGTTAAGGAAAAAAAATTACCAGTGAAACAGCGGATTAGGTCGAGATAGGCACATAACAATGCTTTCTTAAAAAACCGAAAGAGAGAATGTAATCTGATATGAGATATTTTATTTATTTTTACATTCACGCCACCTCTCTCCCTACGTCCACTTTGCATGACGTCCACTTTGCATGCCACTATGGGAACTAAAGAACATAATTTAAGATTATCGATTATTGGTAACATTACCATTAAATATTTAATAATATTAATAAATAATTATTTTTTCAGGTGTGCAAAGGTATGTCGTACTTAGAGAGACATAACTATATTCATCGGGATTTGGCCGCGCGGAATTGTTTGGTTGGAGATGAAAATGTTGTCAAAGTAAGTCTACTGGAAGGTGAGAATGAAAGACGAGTCGTGTGTTGTTTTCGATATAATCAATCAGAATCAGATGGAATACGACATTTTTTTTTCCATTCTCACCACACAATGTCAAATTTCTTATTATGAACCATTTTCAGCCTAAATTAGGAATTATTTTTCACTCTTTAGTTTCATGTGCTTTAAAAGCGTGTTTTTAGTTTTTTTAAACTATTATTTATTTTTTAGTTATTTTTTTTTTTGGATTGCATTGTCATCGATCTTTGACAGGTGCGCAAAGTTTGAATTAAATCTGTCCGTTAAAAGTGGGTCAAAATCGAATCCGAAGGAGTCGGTTACATACATACATACGTACATACATACGTTAATACAGGTGAAGCTAATATAAAGCGTGTAAAAAAAGAAAGTGGCCCCATTTTTACGCCCAGTTATATAACTGTTATACACCAGATAATAGTACCCCATATGAATTTTAATTATTTTTATTTTAAATTAAGTATATTTTTAAATAAAAAAATATTATTTTTAGTTTACCTGCTTTACTTATATTGCGTGAGTCTTTTCCTATTTTTATGAGTTGTTATAGCCATCTTTGTCGTAGGAAAATTTCAGACCCTACTTTTCTCTTTGAGGTTTTCAGTTGACGTAGTATCTTTGCTATGTGTAATTCTAATATATAAAATTCTCGTGTCGCGGTGTTTGTGGTTAAACTCCTCCGAAACGGCTTGACCGATTCTCATGAAATTTTTTGTGCATATTGGGTATAACTGAGAATCGGACAACATCTATTCTTCATCCCCCTAAATGTTAAGGGTAGTCCACCCCTAATTTTTTTTAATTTTTAGATAAATTTTTTTATTTTAATTTTTTTATGATACAGCATTAAAAAATACATACAACCCCTAATTTTCACCCCTCTACGATCAACCCCTATTTTTTATTATAAATGATAAATATGGCAAAATGACGATTGCCGGATCAGCTAGTTATATATAAATTTCTTTATAGGTAGCAGATTTTGGCCTGGCTCGGTATGTCCTTGACGACCAGTACACGAGTTCTGGCGGTACCAAGTTCCCAATAAAATGGGCGCCGCCCGAAGTCCTCAACTATACGAGATTCTCCTCTAAATCCGATGTTTGGGCGTTTGGTATGTAACGTTGTATTTAATTTTGCATCAAAAGTAGTATATCGTCTATGTACCACAAATAATGGTTCGGTGGCCGTCGATACACAAATTATACTAAAATAATAAGTCCTGAGTACATATGTACCTCGTTACGATGTATCCTTACCAAGAAGAAAAGCACACAATCAGTCGTTAGGATTTAGAGACCTACCTTGCCTCACAAAAAACGCACAAATAATAATAATAACTTTGTACAAATATAATTAACAAAACAGTATGAATTAAAATATGCGTCAAATAATGCGTCTAACATAACCCGAGGAAAACTAAGCAGTGACTAACCAAAAAATGTGACGATCGGCCGAGTAGAAATATTTTGGATTTTATTAAATTAAAATTATGTATTTCGGACGGTTAGAAGTATACTATTTATTAAGAAAACTAGGGTTAGAAATACTTACCGTGGGAAATGGACAAGAATGACACTTTACGAGTATTCAAAAGGACAAATGGAAATGGGCGGGAACACACCATGCGAGGAACTGAGAAGTGAAACAATACTATAACGAATTGGGTCCCAAAAACGAGATTAACAATCTTAGACAGTTTTTACATCTAGGTTAACATTAGGTTCTTAATTGCAGGAGTACTGATGTGGGAAGTCTTCACGTGCGGCAAAGTGCCGTATGGACGGATGAAGAACTCTGAAGTGGTAGAAATGGTTCAGAGGGGGCAAGTACTAGAAAAGCCCAAGGGATGTTTGAATGAGATATATAATGTGAGTTTCAGTTTAATTACGCAACTAAATAGGTTTTTCATTAAATATGAATTCATTTTTATAATAATTGTTCCGAGTTTGGTGCCGACTTGGTCGGACCCAATCTTCGAGCCCGTGACTTACATCGTCATAATCGTAGAATAGTGTCGGATCTGACAAATAGTAAACTTTACAGGGCAGCAATTTGAAAATAATATAATCACGTTAGTTTTTGTCATAACTATTTTAATTCATATTCTGTTATTGTGAAAATTGGCATACAAGCAAACAAAATAAAAATAATAACATTAAATTACACAGTTTTCTAGAAAAATTACATGTTTCTATCAAATCCATCACTTTACCGACTAATTAATTTGAAATTTAAAACACATGGATTTTTTTTTTAATCTAGCCGTAATATTTAGTCAATGTAGTATCCAAATATGATAAAAAGTTGATTTTGGATTTTTTTCAAATCCGACATTGTTCTACGATCATGACGACATATACAATTTATATTATATTTATCAGTCTACAGTCTATTAATTAATTAAAAATTTTCACTTATATAATTTAGTAGAATTAAAAAAAAAACAATATTTATTAGAAACTACTTCTGCAACCCGAAGATCTCGCCACAGTAGTCCAACCTGGTTATTCCTTGTATTCACGTGTACTTGATGAACAGGTAATGCGAGCATGTTGGCGACACGCGCCCGACGAACGGCCTTCGTTCCGCGTGCTCAAAGAAGAATTGGCTCAAATCGCTCACACCGTACTCGCTGATTGACTGCGTCTCTTGCTCTGTTTGCTGCGTCCCACTCCGCCAGTATCGCCTGGCAACCCTGGTATTTCCAACCTCGGTATACCCGGTAATCCGGGTATCAGTAATCCCGCTATAAGTCTCGGTATACCCGGTATTTCCAGCAATCCGGGTGTAGCGAGTAATCCGGTTCTCTCCAGCGACTTAAGTGTGCCCGCCAACTTCCTCATCCCCTGTATAGGAAGTCCTATAATTCCAGCGACACCCGTCAGTCCCTCGACCCAACACCCGCTTACATTACCACGCGCTCGCAGAGTACACGCATCGCCTACGTAAGAATAACTATTAAGTTACGCAGTCAAATTAACATTTAGCTAATAAACGTTTAGTTTGAAGTTAAAATCTGAAGGCAAAAATATTTTGAAAGCGCCCAAAGATGCTCGATTTTAATAGATGCGAATTTATAAACAATGTTATCAAATGTCATTTACAATTTTGACAATTTACTTTTGGAGTACAGTATTATATGAAGCTTCGCACGCTCGACGTGTAATCGGATCTCGTTATCAATTTATTTCTTCAAATTTTACTATAGTCGAGTGTGTTGACAATTGAATCTCAGTTATGTGAAATATCACGTGGTTTTCACATTTGTATGAAAATTCTAAATCTTTTATGTGAACAACCAAGTTTTTTTAAATCAATTGTCATACTCATTGGATTTTGTCAATCAACCAATGAATTATCAATTGATTGATGTTTAATCCGAAAATGTTAAGAAGAGGGTTCCTCAAATACGTCTGTAAGGGAGCGTTCAAGTATTACGTAACGAATTTTGGGAGGGGTGCGGGGATTGAATTACGCGTTATTGTTAATATTATTTTAGACTGTCCAGTACTTTACACCTCATAGGGGTAACTTTTAGGTATAAAGAGTCACTGGGTGGTCACCAAACGCTTTACTAGTGGGTACAGAAAAAAGTTACGGCGTGTTACAGGGGGGGGAGGGGTCCAAAAATTGCTTAACGTATAGGCAGCGGCACGTAAGTCTAACGCTGGTCGATACGTGGAGGGGATTGCTGCGCATGTGTACTGTCGCGCGGGGGACGGAATGCGACTGGAGAGCCAATCGTAACTCTTCATTCCGCTAGCCCCCCTCAGGTACCTTATTTTTTACTTCTGCGCAATAACGGTCAGCGCTAGAGTTTCGTGCCGCTACTTGTAATACTAGAACGCTCCCTAAGTGACTCGGGAACGAGTGCAACTGTAACTCCTGTATGCAAGAGTCACACTTAGCGCCCAGTTTTGTTGCTGAATATCACCCTTAGGTATACAGAGTTGATACTTAGGTTTCAGTATCTGTGTGTCACAAACAGTATTCGAAGTACTCGTAGCTAAGTCTAAACTCTTAGTCTTCCCTTTGATCTAATTTAAAAGCCACACCGGATTTTGTATAGTTTATAATAGACTTATGTATATATGATATTTTACGCGTAAATTTCGGTGACCACATACTGTTTTCTCTAATACTGGCCGTCCACTGCCTCTCAGCAAACTTGATTTCAAAGTATAAATACTCATAGATGTAGCTTCTAGTCGCCATTTCTTAGCGTTTTCATTCACTTAATAATAAATCAGCTCAAATAATGTACATTAACCATATCATTAAGTTAACTGTATATAGTTAGTGTTGTATATTGTTTGAAATAATTTGTTTATAACATTCCTTTATTGTTACGAAAAATGCAAGTACAAATTCGCTACTAGTAAAGAAAAGGGGTTTTAAAAAATGTTGGAATAAACCTGATAAAACAGATGGTTTTGCTTCTGATAGCCTTACAAAAACCTAAAATAATAATTTTGAAGTCTTTTTGACCGTCTTTTCTGGAGAGTAAGACTAATAATTACAAATCTAGAAAAACCAACTCTTTCTGCAAATCTTAATTATTATATTTACTAAATAGCATCAGTAGCCGCTCATAATGTAAGACTCTGAGTAGTAGCGAAACAGAAACTAGTAGTGAATTACAGAGGACTTAGCACGAACGTGTTGATAGTTTCGTCAATGTATACGCGACCATAATGTATCGTTAAAAGCTGGAAATCGTTCAATTTTTATATCGAAACATTGCATCTGATTAGTTCGAAATACCATAGAGCGCTACCTATTCCATAGACATTTCTATTACGATAGCTATACGATTGTTCGTGCTAAGACCTTTGGACATAGCGTACACATCGCACTGATTAATTATGACGTCATTTTTAAGGACCTAGTCATATTTTAGATGAATTAAGTATTCGGTATTACGTTTTGGATAGGATCTCACGTACTGTTCAAATGAGAATAGAAACGTCAAGTACAATGTCAATAGTCAATTGTCACAAGATTAAAAAAAACTTGGCATTGCATAATGGTTTTGTCTGGCATAACTTAAGTTTGTTTAGCGATCCTATTCTTATCTGAATAGTTATAATTGATTTTCAGTGAATGAAGTACATATTAAGAAAAACGGTCAATTTTATTAATAATGATCGGCTGAAATAAGAGAAAAATTGTATCCGTAAAAATTATTTTGTGATGATTGAAACGGTAAACTATAACGCGAGTATATGTAAGGTGAGAGTAATGGACCGCTGCTGTTTATTTATAAATTAATGGGTGTTCGATTGTATCCGTTTCCGTGACAATTTTAGTTTCATAGACAAGTAGGTGACACCCTTGTGTCTGACACACACAGACGAAGTTTTACCGTAAGAGAGTAGAGAAAGTCCATTGGTGCACAGCCCAGAACCTGTGACCTCAGGGACGAGAGTGGCTGACGCCACTAGGTCAACTGCTTTTTTTCAATTTAATAATACATATGTATACTTATATTGGCCAGTCAGTATGTGCAAATAGCGGGTTTTTACTTTTTGTACATTTCGATATTGTATACTTCTAGTATACAGACACAAAACTACGAGTTTTGACAAGTATTTTTACACGATACGATATTAATATTTGACATGCATAAATTCTCCATACAATTTGTAAAGTTTGCCTTCATTGCTATTCGATATATTTTCGTACTTCGAAATGTTAAAAAAAAGCTTGACCGTAAAACAAAAATATTATTATTGAATAAACAGCAACGGTCCTTATACGTTCTCGGCCTAATAAAACGTGAATCAAATATAGATTTATTACCATGCCAACGAAGTTTTCTCCATGTACAAATAACGGTAACCATGGTAACGCGTTTGATCTACGTTTTATAATAGGGCCGTTTATGATTTGTTTATAATTATACTCTTCGACTGATTATGTTTTATATTACTAGTCTGATTTGAGTTGGAATTTACGGCGACAATTGACTCACTATATGAGAAAATTTTGAGATAGTTTTGGCCTCGCGGTCAAAGGACTGTGTATATTCCGAATACATATTAGGTTTATGCTTTTTGTAAAATTTACTAGTACAATACCATTTAAGTGCTATGTTGTATAACAATAGTGTTTGCTTTGTACAGCGGTTTATTTGTATACCTATTTTGTAAAATTTAAATAAAATATATAATTATGCATTGTTTCATTTTTACGATTTAATTTAAGCAATGAACAATAGCGGGATGGCGCCATTGATAAGCAGATATCTTTAATGTTTTAAAATCTAAGGAAAGTTCAAGATTGCGAAGTTTTGCTACAACTTGTTTAGCATTTTTACGACAAAAGCAATTAAGTGTAAATTTGGGATCCAAATTTTGAAATATTTAATAGGTATCGGTAGATAGCATCGTTTGTGGTATTTATACATATATATATTTTATGATATGTTGTTGGCGCGACTATAAATAAATAAAAGTAAATATGTTTAATGAAAGCCAGCTATAACATTTTTTATCATAGGATTGATTACATAACATCAGGAAGCCTTACTTCTGCCCTCACTCTTCTGAAAAAGAGTATGAATCGAGTCTTACAATCCATTCAATAAACGGTGGTAGGGTGATATCATTAACGTTTTATCACTTATTTGTATCTCCACAGGCAAAACAATTTGACGAAGACAAATTCTTCTATTCGTTAGAATCTTATCGTTCTAATCAACAAACATTTACGGTGATTGCGTTAGTACCTTGGTTATTAAAAAGGATATCTGAAGAAAGAAACACACTTCATGATTATGAATAATATATTTTAAATGGAATGTTACTAAATTGTCACATAATTTTTGGTATGTAATTCAAGTTTGACAGTTTTTCGATGATATAAAAATGTAGATAGCGCCATCTATCGAAGTAGTTTATAACTCAAAATTTATCTACTATTCGCGAGCTGGCACTTCACTTAAATAATTCTCTTTGATTTCGTGTTTTTTTACACTTAACATGAAGTTCTAGACTATTGTTTTATAACATTAGTAAAAACCAGTCAGAAAATGGATATGGGACCGACATATATCCCTTAAATTATAAATTTTGGTGTAAAGATTTATCATGAAATACATAAACAAGCTAAAAATATTATGGCAAAATTAGCACAAATTATTACTTACAACAAAGATACTATGATAGATATTAACAACTTATATGAACAATATTACTTCAATGTATCTATTATATATTTATAACGGTGGTAGTTAGGGCAACATTGCGAGCCTTACTTAGCACTAAGTATTACTCAATCAAAAACATATTGCATAAATTATTTAAATCTCTAACTCTGAATTATAGAATAATACGTGAATGTATTATATAAGAACACCAAGCATTACCTTAAAACATTATTTTAAATAATATAACAGGAATTGCTTAATAGACATTGATGACACTTTACGTCAAACATTATAGTAACCGGTTAGTTATTGGTAATCAATTGTATGAGCCGAAATGTTCATTGTACATTATACAGCCTTGCTTCTTTTATAAGCGCGAGTTTATTAGCAAGAACTTTCTTCAGGATTTGAATAAGCACCTCATTTAATAGAAAAATCTTTTTGTTGTAATAAATTGCTAAATAAAATAATAAATAAAGCTAATAAATTGTTTAAATTAAATATCTATATCAAAATTAGGAACAGTACACTTTGGTCCTTCGAGACGGACACAAAATGAACAATAACCAAACTACATATTTTTGAATAGTGCTATTAAAGTATCCATTTTTTTAATGAGGTTCAATGCAGTATCTTAGAAAGGAAGGTAGTGTATAAAAATGTTTAATGAGTTTTTACCTTTCAGTAATATCGTCAAATTTAATACCTAGGTCAATTTGTTTGTGTGCATACTCTGAATATATTAAAAATAAATCTTGTTCAACGGTACTGATTTGCAAATTTCGAGGAATTAATTTTTCTTAGACATGATAGTAAATTAGAGTATCAACTTCAAATTTATAACATTAAACTTTATAAGAAGATATTAGCGTTATATTATTATTATTTAGCTTTGAAGACAAATAAGATATTCCAAAAAGGTTTTGACCTGTAGCACATCATGAGATCGATAAAAACGACATTGAGAATAATAATAAACGTTAGACCACAGATGAATGACTAGTTATTAGATTACAGTTATTTACAAAGTTATCTCCAGTTATCAGGTGTTACATATTGGTGGGCAAGATATCTGGTATCAGGTACTGACATAAATCCATTTCAGAATTTACAAATGTTACTTTACTCGCTGTATTTTCATCTAGCCTGTAATTGAGAAAAATATTTTTTTATTTCACATGTAAAAAATCAGTAAATTGAACAATAAATTTATAAGTTAAAGTTTGAATTAACAAATATAAATAAATAACAAAACTATAATATTTGTGGTACCAGTATGGTCATAAGATTTCACATACACATCCATACATACCATCCTTTAATAACTGCCCAGCAGCCAGAGAAGAATGTTGGTGCATTAATTATAAGACAAACACCGAGTCGTTCCGGATAGTGTCTACTCAGCAGCCAAATAAGATTCTTCAGCACTTGGTAGTCCATACACGAAAGTGTAAAATTATTCAAATCAAACACTATACATAGATTATCTACAACTTCTTCAAAACACTTCTTGCTAGCATCCTCCTGAAATTAAGGATTAACTTTTGCAATTACTAAGAACAAGAACATAAATGATATTTATTACACAAAACATCCAGAATTTCTCAATGGGACATTTCTGCAATCCCGTTATAATTTTTAAAAATTAATGGATGCTGTTTTATACATGGACTTCTGTAAAAATGGGATGGTTATGTTTCACAACATGAACATGTGCATGGCAAATTACATCATTATATAAATATTGGAATTGTGTAAATATAAGTTAATAAAAATTATTCATTCCAGACAAATTTTTGATTTCTTTGTTGTATTGTTTTTGTGTAATAACTTTGAAAGGCTTGTGTTACTTCTTCAAAATGCTCTTTAGTAATTAAATCAAATATTTAAAAGAAATTGATCAGGCTACCTAATCTGATAATAGGAAGTATTTGACAACTATGCAGCATAAAATTTACCGTAAGCCTTGAATAGCCAACTCGGAAGTCTTATTTCTATTTCTTCTAACTTCAAATAATTTGTTTCATAAAAATCAAACCTATGTTATATATAGATACATATTTCGCATTATATTTGTGTTAAGACAATGCAAGTATCTGATTTTATGCAGTTATATATTAATTAATATATCAGAAATAGCAACAAAGATATGATCTCAATTAAATAAATCTTGAAATACAATTTGTATACTTTACAAACATACTGAAAGTCACAACTAGCTAATAAGGATTTTATTCTTATCGCTTCACTATTACTATCAACCTTTCCAAAATTATTTAAGTTAATAGAATCTTTAAACCACCACAATTTTGTTTACTATCATTACTATACTATAATAAATATATAAAACTTACTAAACAATGTACAATAAATTTTGTCAAGTCATCAATATCTCTGTCGCTAGAACTGTGGTTCTTAGCTGGTATATAGATAATTGGTCTTCCCACCATATCTCTGTGTCTAAGTACTCTTGCTTTATTGCTATATTTTTCGATAATTTCTTTATTTTCATGGAGCTCTGTAACACCATATTCTGTTCTCCATTTGTTGGTTTTTAATATTGCCTGTAAATCAATCCAATATATTAATTTACATAAAGCAACATTAAAAAGATTTAGCATTTTACTTCGTTTCACTTTCGATTATATGTATACAAAACAATCTAAAAACTATTCATTATTATTGTTTTACTAATTAAGCTAATGAAATTGTTTGAATTTATTTGAAAAAGTATTATTTACTTGAAAAGCACTATCAACTGTTTTAAACGCCCTTAAGTATCGTTTTAATGAATAATCATTATGATATTGCGCTGGATCAGCATCAGCAATTAGTTTCATTCTTTCTTTAAGCTGTTTGAAATCTTCTGCGTTCACTGGTTTTTGTTCTTCAGCCATTGCTACTTTATATGTTTATCTACGTAATACAATAAATATTTTACAGACGTATTTTGAAATAAAGATACTATTAGATGAATTTGTTTTCCATTTAATTCTGTTCACTTTTCAGCATTCAGCGGGCACTTATTTTTTTTTTTTTTTAATTTATTTATTAGCCGGATACAAAGTCCATTGGCAAGCGGGCACTTATCACTTACAGTGTTACCACCTCCAAAAAAAAAATTATCCCTAAAATTAAAGTCAATACCCATTAAAATTTTCGTGATTGAAATAAAAATGGAACAAATTGAGCCAGAGTAGTTTACTAACTAACTACTACTTTTGGGTACTAAAGAAAGTAACAATCATTTTTAATATAATTAATTGTATAAAAATACTATAAATTTCACCTATACAAGTATGTAAGAATATCAGTAGTGATAGTAGATTCTTTAGAGACTTGAAATAAATTAATAGACTCCACATTTATGTTACGCTTTTTACTTCATTACTCCTGAAATTCGGGAAGATTCGACAGTCGAGAACCCTTTTTTTAACGTGACAATTGACAATGATATATGACTTGATGCTTCAGATTTTATAAAATTACGGATCATATTATTATAAACTAAATACTTTTAGGAGCAACAATAAAAGTTTTGGAATCTCTTTTGATTATGCAATTAACATTGATTTAAATGTGTTTTGTGATAGTAGTTAGATATAAAACTAGCTGATTCGGGGAACTTCGTACCGCCTAACAGGCAATAAATGTCGTGTTACAGCTATTAAAACTGGACTTCATGTATGATTTTATGAAAGTAACACAATTAATACAAAACAAATATAGAAATAAGAAATAAGAGTCTGAACGTACCCCATACATATTTCACAATCAATATATATATATTATATATAAATTTTTAATATTTTGTATCCTAAATAACTCGTTATTCGAATATTGTAATATATTGTCAATTCGAAACCTTTCTTAAAATCCGTTGTTTAATTTGAGGGCATAGTTTACCGTATCGACGCGATGAGCATTAAATATTTGACCGTTACGAAGCCTATTAATATTTTAAAGTTATTGAACAAAAAGCAACACTGCATAACAATAGCCGTGATATCATAGGCTTATGCGAGGTCATCTTGGAAGAAAATATTATCGAAGACGAACAATATATTATTCTCTTTTAATTAAAATTTAAGACTAATAAGTAATTTTAGTCTTATGCTGCACCCGTAGCTCTCGCCCACTCTCCTCAATATGAAATATAATATTGTTAAAATTGAGAATAAAATAAGAAATAATAAAAATCTGTAGGTATATTTTATTATTTCAAAAATAAATACTTCCTGAATACAAACGTAGATAATTATTCTCATTTAATGTCAATAATAAATTTTCAATTATAACATTTCTATATATCTAAAAAGTCAATTTACAGTCTGATATCCGCGAGGTTTCTCGGTGTTTGATGCTTATGTCAGAAGGCCGTTAACTTGAAATTGTGGAAGGTGAGGTACTCGTCGCCTAAAGTCATTAATAGTACAGCAAAAGCTGTATCCCATGTCTATACGGTCTGGTTGCCACTTGAGCCAGCTGAAAGCGTTGTTATTCCGACATCTGTCTGTACAGAACTGCAGAGCCCGGACTTCAGAAACCGTGTAGTATGGGTTGTTGATACCAATGAATGCGGTACCAATGCGTCTGCTAGCATCGTATACCACCTGAAAACATTTTAGCGTAAGCTTTAGCATTCTAAGGAGTCGTCGAGACGAAGATTGGAACATAACTATGTAACAATATACATTTTAATTCGATTAAATTTTAATTTTAAAGACGCCACTTTAATACTTATAATCTCCTTAGTACAAGCTTTAGGTAATCGAGAAATATGGCCATCGTTCGATATGATAAGCACTAATGACTAATAGATACGATTTTAAATGGCATAATTAAAATGTTTAAAATTGACAACATATATACCTTGTAGAAGTAAAGGGGTACGGGTACTCTGCGCCTATTGTTAGTGTTGTCGAGATAAATGTCAACAAAATGGCCGGCAGAGTTACGAAGTTGAGTGACGCCAAATGTTCCCGTGTATACTGTTGTGTGGTAGCCCGCTTGGGCAACGCGACTCCGTAGGTTCTATAAACAAGGTTTAATAAGCCTTTTCATTGTATCATATTTCTTACGTAATCTTTAGTAGAACGGATGAATGAAAAGCGATTAATAAGTAACAAGATGATATACATCACAACCGTGGATGGTAGACTCGGTTTGGGTAGACTTAGTCATACTTGTGGAATCAGCTGCCCACTATGTACTGCCGATGAAGTATTTCCGAACCAATTCGACTTAAGGTCCTTTAAGAAAAGAGCGTACCTACCACTTCTTAAAACCCCGGCAATGCACTTGCGTGCCTTCTGAAAATGTGAGTATTAATGGGCGGCGGTATCATTTAGCATCGGGTGAGCCTCCTGCCTGTTTGACTACTGTTACATAAAAAATAAACGTACTTGAACCAAATCTACGCGGTGACTAGAGAAGGAACCAGTTAAAAGTTATTGTTATAAATTAAAGAAGGAAAGGAAGAGATAAATAAGCTACTCATGAATCTATTAAAGCTAGCCTTTGTAAAGTAAAAATGGTTATATGTACTTGTTCGAGATTATTCCAGTTTCCACCATTGAAGGGTTGCCATTGAGGACTGGCATTGATGAAGTGGAATGTTGCACGTTGACCGACAGCAAATACTAGTTCACTTTTCGCTAGAAGGTGACCGCGGGCCAAAAACTGTTTACTTGTGACGTATCGGTCCACCATGTTATTTCCTACTGCTCTTGCTATGGCTTCGCGATGTCGGTTTTGCGTGTATAGATTGTTAATATCTACACCAGGGAAGAAATTTCCCGCTAAAATATAACAGTGATTTTATATTATGATTTTAAGAATTACAGTTTAGTTATCGCTCTGAAAAATTAAATTTAGTCTTATAGAATTGAATGGGATACCTTGCCAACTGGGCCTGCTGACTCCTGTTTGTTGAATAGCATTTATTGGAGTTTGCGGGTATGATACATATAGAACTTCGAAACGGTTTTTATCATAGCATACCGTATAAAGAGGATAGAATACTCTATTAACACTGTAACCGACTCTGAAATTAAATTAATTAAAATTTATGATGTTCACCAGTTCAGGGAAAATTATACAAAACGCAATATGGCTTACCTAATTATAACATTATTGCCATAACATCTTTCATTAGTCTCCACAGCCTCACTATTAACATTACTATTACATGTCAATTGACCAAAAGCCCGGTTTCCATTCAGCAAACCCGGAGCCGTGACAAGATTGCTATTAGCACACCTTACAGTCTGTTAGAAAAAAAGTTGCTGTTTTTAATTCAGTTTAAATTATTAGCCTTTAAAACGCTGAAAAATTATTGAAAGTAAGTTTATAACTTAAAAACGTATTGTTTAAGCTGATTATATTCTTGGATGATAGAAATGACCTCGGGATAAATGTACGGAATAATTATTAAAGCATAACAAACTATGTCTACTTCTAGAGTTTATAATCTTTGTACTTACACCGACAGCCATATTAGTTGCAACAATATTTGGATGACGAATTTGACGGCCATTACAACCGACTATAACTTCATCGCCAGTTTTTAAACGAACTACTCCAGAATTACCGTCTGGAGTTAGATAATTATTTATCCTTTTAAGGATAAATACTGGTTGGGGGCTGGCGAAATCGCTTCGCACGTTCAGTGAACAACCTTAAAATTTATAATTAGTGATTTTACAAGACAAAGCCCAAAGTAGAGCAGGTGATAAAGGGAACGACTATATTTCGAAATAATAAGATTCTCGGGATTACCCAACCTATATAATTGGATCTAATATTTATTTCAATGAAATATTAATTCCAGTACAGACAATTAAATATTTAATTAGGCTCCTGTTAGACAGTACTGGGTGACACCCGAGCTAATGATTTCTACAGCGTAACAATGTCGCAACGCTCCGAAATGTTTGGACTATCAAGAATACTTTATAATTGTTGATTTATAATAACATTGTAAATTTTTTTTTTTAAATTTAATAATGGAGTCTGAGAAATTTTAAAATCCAAACTTTTAATGACTTACCACTTCTAGCATTCGTGGTTTGTGCGTCAGAGATATTATGCCATTTGCTTTGCTCTTTTTCCAACCACTTATCCAAGTAGTCTTCAAACTCTTCCTCTCCAAGCTTGAAAACCATTTCCTCTGGATGTGGCATTTCCGCTGGTAGCGAGAAAGTCGCCACAAAGAGCGTCAAAAGTACCACAATCTTCATTTTTACTTTCCGATAATGGTTGATTTGAAAAGTGGTCCGTAGACCAGCCTTTCAGTTTTCTGCTGACTTAGAGATAGGAAAGACTTTTATATTTATAGATAGAGATTAAATTGATAAAAGATAAAGGTATTTGCATTTTAATATTTGTGAAAGATATTTTATATTTACAGTCGGCATAATTCCTTTACTGATTGATTAGTTTTTATAGGAATTAGTAGATAGTTCTATCTCGTCTCTTATTTATAAAATTTATTACAAATAACTATTCCTACCCTTGACAAAATATAAATGTTAATAATATCTTCTGAGTTAAGTCTTAATTATACGTCTTTTTACTATATTTTAATTCTATCAAACCTTTTTTATCACAGCTTTTTTGTTAAATACAAAAAAAGGAATATATTTAAATATTATGGATCAAAAATGATTTAAAATTTTTGGGAGCCCATAACTATAGCTTACACTCTTTCGAAAATTATATCCTTGAAATTCCATCAATATCCTTGTTCCTGTTTAGTTTTTTTTTCTTAATAACTATATGTAATATGTATTTTTGCACTTCTTGCCTACCTTATCTAATTTAATACATTTTTTTTCTTTTCTCACAGTGGTTGCTTGGAAGTTGTCCTCCTTTACATTTAATTATGTTAAATTTTTATATTGTAATGCAACGAAGTGTTAATAAATAAAATAAATAATGCAATAATCTTTCATTGTCTCAAGATATTGGATATTTATCGCTCCATGATTATGCATCTATGGATTTTATTTTCGCCTCAATTGCGTGCAAGTGTGATAACTGTATGATGAAGGAATCGTTAGTAACAGCGTCATGCCGTAGCCTTAAAAAGGACCTGAGTCAGGTTGTGCCTGAACTAATTCGCGAGCAATGGATAAGCTATTTATGGAATATTATCAATAAAACTGATACAGATATCGATCTTAGGTATAAACTACAACTTTACTTAATTCCTGCTGTACATTAGCTCAGATTTATACTAGCTGGTACGGGGAAGAATTCCACACGTCTTAAGCGGGCCATGACGGACCGCATGTTGCAGACAAGACCGACTGCAATATGCGGTCGCCGCACAGCGATCTGCAGTTTCCATGCTAAATTCATATCCGCAATACACAGCAGCGGCAGCAGATCCACATTTTTTTTTTAATACGTTATCTTTACAAGTCGAGAATGATTTACATTATTAGATATTTTTAAAACGTCTATCGGATCCGCTAGTATCACATATTTTTCACTATAGTTTTGAGGAGACAAGTTGTTTATTATACAAAATAATAGAATTGATCTAAGGCCGTTTCCTTAGATTTATATTTCTAGTTTTAGTTAATCAAATAATTAGTAAGAATTTTCCTAATATTTTAACAATGCTCAAGATGTGGCTATCACTTCAGATACAAATGAGAATAAGTAATAGTTTTTAATATTTTACTTAAGAGAAAAATACATCTATTTAAATCTCCTTTTTGGGTAATTTCAATAAAACAGTACTCTTGTGTGTAAAATATATATTTTTGTCTAAAAATGTAAATAATTTTATTTATATACAGTCAACGGTTGAGGCCTACTACCAGATGCTATATTTTACAAGGGATGCACACAATGCCAAAAATCTTTTTCGTAATGGAATGGAATGGAAAATAACATAACTATTAATTTTAACAGGGGTATTTGTTATTTATTTATGACAGTAGCCCGTTCACAGTAAAAGCTGGCAGGTGCGGCACTCGTCGTCTGAAATCAGCGATAGTGCAGCAGAAGCTGTAACCAATGTCCACTCGATCTGGTTGCCACCTGAGCCAGCTGAAGGCGTTGTTATTCCGACACCTGTCTGTGCAGAACTGCAGAGCTCGGGCCTCAGCTAATGTGTAGTATGGATTGTTGATACCGATAAAAGCGGTTCCAATGCGTCTATTTGCATCATATGCAACCTGGAATAATCTTTTTATTATATATAAGTTACGGACATCAAGGAAATACTATATTATCCTAATTCGACTGTAAAACGTGTATGTACTGTATTTAAGGTGTTATGATTTTATGAAAGAAAAAAAAAACTTTATTATTCAACTAGGATTTCCTGAGTATAATAAAGTTTTTTGCGTGGCAGTCTCTTCCACAAGTTCCGTTTCAAACTCAAACTCAAAATAACTTTATTCATATAGGTAACCAAGTACAAAAAGTCAACAAAAAATATGTTAAATTGTTTCTAAATTTACATTTACTACCAGTTCGCACGTCAAGGGCTTAGAGCGGACATTTTTGACATGTTAACGGTACTTGACAATAACTTCTACTATTGTTGCGCAATAACAATATTTTCTCTCTCAGCAGGACAGGTTGAAAAGATGTTGTTTAAGATTGTTAGTGTATAAAGTTTTGAATCGTTAGTAAAAATTTTGTTTTTTAAGAAAGTGGTCAAAGATGTAAGGGCCTCTGAAGGAGAAAAAGCGTTGGGCGAAAGTGCGTTTGCGTTGTGTGGTTAAGTATAGCTGTCTCACCGTTAAACGTTTTGTTTCATTGTATAATTCTGAAGTTGAGTAGCGAAAAGATTTGATAGTGATAGTTTGGGTTGATAGTATCTTAAGAATGGCGCGTTGGGCACGCTCAATTTTCACCATTGAAGACGATGCTTAAAAAGTTATATTTTAATTTCATGATTATTTATACCTATAAACACTTGTCTAAAGCATGCGTTCCTTGACAACACAATTTAAAATTTTAGTCAAAATGGTTTCTTTACTTATAAGTATGAGCATAGGCAATATGAGCATGTATCGTTCTTTAATTTCAATGTTCTTTTAAATTTTAACTTACTAATATTAATAATATTTTTTTATTTTTTATTAATAAAAATTGATAAATAGAAAAATAAAACAAATTTAAAAAGTTTGGTCCCTGTCACCTTTAATGCTGGCAGCATTTCCTCGCTGTATTGCGATATTTATTTGTTGAGGGAGGAAAGCACCAGCTCTGGGCCACCAGTACTACCAGGCGCCAACTTAAATCTTTATAAGAATGAATACTTAAATATTAACTAAGATAGTATAGTACCTTGTAGAAGTATTGAGGAACTGGGACTCTACGATTATTACCAGTGTTGTCAAGAAATAGGTCAACGTAACGGCCAGCGGAGTTACGAAGTTGTGTGACTCCAAACGTACCCGTGTAAATTGTTGTGTGGTAACCCGCACGGGCAATGCGATCACGAAGGTTCTGTAAATATTTTTTATAGCTTTTACTAAAAGCGTGGGTATGGGTGAGTCTGTTCACTATACTATTATAAAAATATAAACCAGTTATCTACAAGGGCCACAATAAGAATGACATTACTTAGGGGAACTTCAGAAACGATACCGCTAAATCCGACTACAACACGACAAAATTGGATTTTGAGATACGGGAGTCAAAGTTGGCTCTAACTATCGTTTCTCAATCTCACCCTTAATATTACATCTATCCGTTTGATATAGCTAATCTTTGAAACTATTAAACGAATTTATATGAAGTTAAAAACAAGGTGCTTGCTCAATATTATTAAAATTGTGACGAAACTTTTACGAAAACATGATATGAAAGAATAAAAAAGTTATACCAATTCGAGACTGTTCCAATTTCCGCCATTAAACGGTTGCCATTGAGGACCAGCGTTGACGAAGTAGAACGTTGCTCGCTGTCCAGTAGCGAAGACTTGGTCACTCTTAGCAATGAGGTGACCACGTGAAAGAAACTGCTGATTGGTCACGTATCTATCGACCATGTTGTTACCAACCGATCTGGCTATTGCTTCGCGCTGGCGATTCCTCGTGTAAAGGTTGTTGATATTCACTCCCGGAAAGAAATTTCCAGCTGTAATTTGGCAAGAGTTGAGAAATCTGATCTACCCCTCAAAATTTAAAATTATTTATTCATTTAGGTTCATGTACACTTATGAACGTCAATAAAGAAATACATATTAAATGCTAAATGCTTCTTATTTTACATTTACTGTTAGTTCTAAAATCAAGGGTGTAGAACGGACGAGAAGAACTGGCAATAAACTCTCCGCCACTCTTGTTAATCGCCAGTATTTTGTTTTACACAATGTTTGTAAAGAGTTGCAACCATTACACCATATTCCACTTGACATCTTAAGTAATTGATAATAAAAAACAAAATCAAAAACAAAGATGTGTCCTCTATCAGCAGTAGCCCGGAAACAGGTTACATCACTGAGGATGGCATTCGATCGGATATCTTACTGGGGCCACAATTTCACATATGCACAGAAGACACAGTTTACAGTTTTTGCCGAGTTCCAATCAATAGCCAAGCAATATGTGTAATTAACAAGCAGCTTATGTGTCAATTTAGATACTATCAAGGATTCTTAACCACCTAGTTAACCTGGGCAGCTCGGAGATTATGAACACGGCGTGTGATTCAAATATTAAAAGTACAGAAGGATTATATATTAGGGTTGCTTCTTCCTGATGGGTTGGCAATTGTCAGAGCTATAAAGGGTATTATTATTTGTATCAAAAACCTTACCCATCCAGTTAGGTCGGTCAACGCCAGTCTGAGGAACAGAGTTGGTTGGATTTTGTGGATACCAAACATACAGTACTTCGAATCGGCGCTTGTCATAGCATGACCAATAAGTTGGATAGAACACGTTGTTCACGACGTATCCGACTCTGGAATAATTTTGTATCTATTATGTTTGTAATACAAGTTTTGCCGTGTTTATTTTACAATAAGAATTCAAAAAAAATTAAAACAAAACATTTGACAAAAAAATAGGATTACTTACAATCTTACACTACAAAATAAATATAAAACAATTTAAAAAAGTTCGGTCCATATGGCAGCACCTTTAATGCTGACAGCATTTTTTCTATTTATTTAAATAAATAAACACTCTCCGCATATAAAGAGAATTGTTGATCACGAACGAAAACAAGCTATTTTTATTTTATATTAGGCCCACATTGTACGGTTCAAAGAAGCGCATACCGCCAAAACAACTAAATTCTTTCTAAGGAATGTCATATACAAAAATACTTAGTCCACAAATGATGTAGATTTTGACAGGATTCAGCTGCAATCTGTGCCTGCAATTTAACCTGAAAGATACATCACGTGTGACGAACAAACAGACAGACAGTAATGTATCTCATTTTCGAATGTCCAGAACTTGGAGCCACCAGACCCGACCTTCAACTAATCATACAAGGCAAAGTGGTAAGTAGAAGGAGACCTGGCCGCCGATGCACATCTTGGTTGAAAAACCTTAGACAATGGCACAGCACCATGTCATTGTTTAGATTGCGGCATCCAAAATTAAAGTAGCCATGATGATCGTCAACCTTCGTTAGGAGACGATAAGAAGACTTGGAGAAACAAATTTTTATAATAAAAACCTTTAAAATTAAATTTACCTTATAACCACATTATTGCCATAACATCTCTCATTTGTCTCGACGGCTTGACTAGAGGAGTGGTCACTACATGTCAATTGTCTGAAAGCTCGATTTCCGTTTAACCAACCTGCACCGGATACGAGGTTATTGTTCACACATCTTGCCGTCTGAAATATGTTGATTAGATTATATATCGATTGCGACAAACTTAATGCTTTTAACTTTTAAAGGGGAAACTCTGTACTGTCATCCTCGGCGAATCATCATTCAAAGGTATTACTGCTAAAAATTTCGTGGGCCAAAAAGTTCGAAAAAATCTTCAAAAGCCAGCTCTGGCATTGAGAGTGCACGGGCGGCGGTCACTTATCATCAGGTGAGCCTCCTGCCCGTTTGCTCACGTTGTTCTTTAAAAAAACTTTCTTTCTATGAATTTAACAAGTGCTGGCACGGTGAAGTAAAACATCGAATGGCATTCCTTAGACTTCTGTGTCAGGCACAGATAATCGGATCACCTACTTGGCTATTAGACAAAACAAACGATCACGTAACAGATACAGAAATCTGGTGCCCGGGCATAAAAGGTTGTAGCTCCTCTATTATTTCATACGTCGAAGATGTTTGGTGAGAAACCCGGCCTGGAAAACCTGGGAAAACAGGTCTTAGACCTAAACATCGGCGTAAAAGGCCAACCTGCTCTAAAAGAAAAACGATTAAAGAAACAGATACAATAAAACTGTGAAAAATGACTCGGTGGAGATTTACAGCAACTCCATAGAGACCTTTCATTGATAATTGTTTACTATTATTATTGTTTTCTTCTGCTTGTTATATTCCTACCTAATTACTATTTTATGTATTTACAGTATATATTCGCGGATGCTTGGCGGACCCATGGGTCTTCTTCAATACAAAGAGCTCCCTTGAGAAGTTTGTGCTGCGATATTGGGATTTGGGGGCTACTCGATTGTGAGGAAGTTTCATGGATCTGGTTGGCTCTGCGCTTTTTTAGTTCTCATGTCATCCTTTTTATGTAGTATGTGTAACATATTTTCATATATATATTTTATATCTGCCTTTTAATAAATTTAAGAAATGTATTAAAGAAAAGCTGTGTAAAAAGGCCTACTATAAAGTTAATGATTATCTAGTTGATAAAAGGGCCTGGGACTAGTGCTAGACAGGCTACTTCGAATTAATTTTCGATATTTGTTTTAAAATAAGTGTTGTTTGATGATTTGCTATTTTAAAAGAGTACCGGGAGTTTTTTACGCCGGCTTTTTCTCTCGGCCTACCCCCTTTGTCTTCTTTGCCGATGAGTAGGGATGCCTACAGTTTCAAATTTAATGAAGTGGAATAAGTGATACCTGTATCTTATGTTCTATAATAAACATATTTTATTTTATAAGTAATTGATTGTCCTCATTTTAAGATGTGTGATATAAAAAAATGCCAAGAGACTGTGAGTGTTACTCAGGGGAAGCTATGATTATTATCCGTCATGGTACTTACTGCAACCGCAACATTGGATATGATATTAGGGTGTCGTATTTGACGTCCTGATCCAGTACATGCGACAATAATTTCGTCTCCACTGTTTAGGCGAACTTGTCCCGAGTTGCCATATGGTGCTAGGTAGTTGTTCAACCATCTGTGTATGAAAACTGGCTGTGGATTTGAGAAGTCATTGCGCACGTTTAGAGTGCATCCTGAAAAGGGGTAAATAAAAATCATTTATACGCTTATTAAAGGTCTCCACATCATATATAATGCTATATCTACAGTATATGTTGTATTGCCTTTTATTGACATAACTTTTAGACATAGAAAAACACTTTTTTAACGGATTGGACACCGTGACCACGCACGCTGTAAAGCACGCGAAACGTCGGTTAAATTTAAAATTACATATGTAAAATAATTGTAAATTTATAATAAAACATAACTTCAAATCCGTTAAAAAAGTGTTTTTCTACGGTATATGTCACAAGCTGTCTTCTTTAAAATACATGGTAATTATGGTAAATATAACTGTTACAAAAAAATTTAAAATAAAAATATTACATGCAATATTAGATTTTCCTAGTATTTTTTAAATTATTTTTAATAATACTAGTAAAATAGCGGATTAGGTATCAGATAGGCCCTCAAGAATGCTTTTTTACCCAAACACACACACGCTACACTTAAACACATGTAGTGTTTAATACTTTTTTAACGATTTACTTGTTACTTGAAATTACAGTGCCAATTTCAATAATTATGATGTGATAAACCCTTATTATTTCTTACATCGTAAGCATGGAGATTCATATGAAAGAGATATTAAATAATTGTTTAATAAAACTATTGTAACTTCATTTGTAGCTTTTTAACTCAAAAAATGTATGATGATCATATATTCTTCTTTCTCTTTCTTCATATATGTTTATTTTCAGATTACATGTAAAAAGGTTTAACAATGGAAACATTTGTAAATTCAATCAACAATAAAAAAAAACCAATTACATTTTTTTGGATTGGTTATTCGGACAATGCATATGACACAGCCAACTAGCTTAATTAGCCGTTCAATTAACAGCCTAGTAATTTAATTCTTTGTCCGAGGTAGCTGCCAGCTCTTCGGTCTCCTGTGATGTCGCACATAGACGTAAGACAGAGATAAGTAAATGCCTGAAGATATTATTAAGTAGCTTAAAGTACTCACCACTCCTGGCGCTTGTGGTTGTTGCTTCGGACGCGTTGGTCCATTTACGTTGTTGGAATTCTATCCACTTATCAACATAGTCCTCAAATTCCTCTTCCCCGAGTTTATAGACCAGTTCATCTGGATATGGCAACTCTGTTGGGATCGAAGACACCGCTGCAAACAACGTGACGAGTAGAACAAATTTCATCTTGAATTAGGTCTTGGCCAGCTCTTTGGCCAAAGAATAATGACAATCATACAATGATAGCATTGTGTTTTTAAAGATATGGATTAAAATGATAAGATACGATAATTATGAACACCCGTAAAACTTTTTAATTGATTTAATTATATGTTTGTGATTTATAAATGTATTCTCGACCTGGAAACTGGAGACCGCTGTTGAATTGTCATAAGTGTTCAACCTAAAATCCCACCTGGGGGCAAGGCCTGTATCTGTCGGGCGACCTGGCAAAGAGAGACAAACGCCGGTTAAGAAAGCTTTAGTTTTCTTTATGTTCATAAAATAAAGTATGATTATTCATATTTTATTTATTTATTAGTTCTAATACAGCGTTTATGCATTAAATTATACAAGAAATATGACGTCACAAATTTTAAGGCACACTTACATATACTTCATTTATTTAAGAACATAAATACATACATATGATTTGGATACCTGTCTAGTTTTCTCTTGTTACGGAGAGGACTGGCCCCAAATAGTCCCGCCGTGAGTGCAGTTGCAGTGAGTGAGGAGTTTTACAATTCTACTGCAAAAATATTCCAGTTGCAACCTGAAGCTCCTTAATTCTTCGCGTAGCTGCTGAGCTTTAATATCAATTTGTTTCTACAGGTCGCATCTGGCGGCTCCAAATACTGGACAGTCTATAATGAGATGCATTACTGTCTGTCTTGTTTGTAGGTCGCATGAACTTCTTACATGTGGAATCTGATTTCAGGTTCTGTGCAGGTATTCAGCTAACGCCCCACGATCCGTTTAGATCTGGATCATTTGTGGACAGAAAAGTTCTAGTCTAATTTTTTGTAGCCGTCTATGACATTGCTTAGAAAGAATTTCGTTGTTTTGGCGGTATGAGGATCTTTGTACCGTTTCTCCCACTCCTATATCTCTTCTCTTCGCCTTCTGTCTAACTTCTTTCCTGAAGTTAGATAGTGTATTCCAGTTTTTACTGTCTATTTTTACAATGTTTAGTTGTGGACTGTTTTAACGCCACGAAGCGCAAGCGAGCTGTACCTCTGGTAAGGCGTGGGAGCCCTAACAGCATGTAGGCGGTAATAGCGGTAAGGCTAGATTGCCCTTACAATGGACTGCATGTGCCCTTTATAATTTTATGATTGAATATACTTTAAAGCAAACCTTGTTATATAATATTAACTAACACAATAATAACTGGACCATGTCTTCTGGCCTTGGCTGCTATAACTGGACTCTGGCTGACCTCTCATTTCCCGGTATACTACTGTGGGCCTTAATCCAATAAAGTTCTATGTTGATGCCTTTATCACGTCTTGTTCCTGCGGATTTGACGAAGCCCGTGACGGCGTCCAAGGAGCGTGAGTCACTGTAAATTGCGGCATGTTTTTAACGACCTCATCGACTGCAATGCGGATAGCTATTAATTCGGAGAAAGTAATTAAAGTTAGTTAGTAATCAAAATCTGATGTTAGCTACAATAAACAGAGTTATAGACAAAAGATCTACACTTGCGTATATGATTTTCAATAATGTCGAAATAAACATTTACACATATAAGTTTTGAATTCCGCTAAAACTATCATTTAACTTTATTTATGAATTCGCATTCTCTTGAATACTTCGTTGATAGCAAAAAAGTTTAAATACTGGTGTCCTATAATTCAACATCAACGTCGGTTGATAGGTAGTGGTTAATGTCAGAAAGTTTTGACATTTGTATTTGTGGAAGTGCAATCCAAAAAAATTTTTTACCACTTTGGAATTCGGAGTAAATACGCATTATTTTTGTGTAACTCACCAACATTGCATAGGAAATTTTTCAACACGGTCGGATAGTTGGACGTATAAAGAACGTCAAGGGGTTTATACAATTTCTTAACTAATGGCAATAATTTTGAAAATTATTTTTCGGGATTAGGGAGCGTTCAAGTATTACGTCACGCATTTATTTTGGAGATTTTTGACCCCCTCCCCATGTAACGCGCAGTAACGTTTTTCTGTACCCAATAGTTACGTATACGTTTCGTGACCACCCAGTGACTCTTTATACCTAAAAGTGACCAACATGTGGTGTAAAGTACTAGAAAGTCGAACGTCGAAGTCGAAGTTGAACGCTCCCTTACTCACCATCACCCAATTTGGCTGGATGTTGATTTATCGGATTTTCTAGTTATATAATGTCATATTGAGTTTCCCAACATTTTTTTAGATCTACATTATAATATTATTATAAATGGGAATAATTTGATTGTTTGTTTCCATTAAATAGCCTCCAAAAATATAGAACTAGAATATAGAACTAACTTAACAAAATTATTTCACGCTTAGAACCCTACGTTATCCCTGTTGAACATAGGCTATAGAATATTTAAAAAAAATAGGATTCTATGAAAGTATGAAATTACGATAGTGTATATCTTAATTTCATAGTTTCATACCCAAATACCAATAAAAAATGCTAAATCGCGGGCGTTGCGGAAACTAGCCTTAGGGCTTAGAGCAAAGTGATGTACTACAGAATTATAGACAATATCTACAAAAAAGCTTTATGTGTATACCAAAATTCTTTTTGAATTTAAAACTCTTACCGAGAAGCATTAGGCTATAGAACATCGATCTATGACCAAATTAATGCGGGTGGAACCTAAGCTAGTATTTAACATTCTTATAAGACAAGATTAAAATGCTAGTAAATCGAATCAAAAGTAGACGAGGGAAAACAATAATGACGATTAGAAACATCAATCATGCAAATTAGCCTTCGTGTTAATATTATCAGAGTGTTATCAATAAAAATGCTAAACAAGAACTTCCTACTTAGCTGTTATATTGAAAAAAAATCTTTAACATTAAAACAAAAACTTAATAATAAACGGTCCACATACAAGAGTCTTTCCTCCAACTTTGGTTTTGTTTCCTTTGGGCAGTGGGGTTCAAGTGTACAGGTGCTAATAAAGATTTAAGTAGGCGTCTGGTAGATAGAACCGGTGACCCATACTTATTATTTTAGCGAGAACAACACTTGTTCTCGCTAAAATAATAAGTATCGCAATAACAGAACTAATTTGAGTGTACGACCAAACGGGCTCCAGCAGTTAAACCACTGCTTATATGGAAATTGTATTCGTTTTTACAACAAACTCCCAAGCGAAATTAGAGAATTATCACTGAATAAATTCAAAATTCTCGTTAAACGTACATTAATCAATAAAGCTTTTTATAAATTGGACGAACACTTAAATGATCCTAATCCTTAGAATTGATTTGCTCCAGTTCAAACAATTTGTATGACTCACAATTTAGCGATTAAAAAGAGTGCCGAAAAGTTTCTTGCCAGTTCTTGTCCGCTCTACGCCCTTGAATTGCGAATTGATAGTAAATGTAAATTTACAATTAATTTAACTTCTTTTTTGACGTTCATAAGTGTACTTGTTTACCTATATGAATAAAGATATTTTGAGTTTGAGTTTGAATACAGCGAGGAAATACAGCCAGCACTAAAGATACACTGCCACAACTGCCACGGGACCACTTTATAAATTTTACTTTTAGTTTACTTTAATAGGTTGACTGAATTTTACTAATGAAGACCTGTGCTTGTGAAAGCATTGAGGGCACTCTGTGAGTCCCGAAAGCAACTGCGTTCTCGATTTCAATATAGAGTGTAATACGATGGCAAGGTCACGCGCGACTCGCGACATCAGTGCGACGGATTTTGAGAGAAAACGTTGCGTTATTTCCCTTTAAAGTAAGTGTGGTTTACTTTATTAGTCTTTGCTACTTATAAAGGCGACATTTTATATATAACATAAAAATAGAAAATGTAATATTAAATATAGCATTTGTCCGTACGAACATTTTGTAGGTGAAACTTGGCGATTGAATAGAGTAGCCAAGAGTTATTGCCAGTTCATGTCTTCTGTTCTACGATCTTGATATTCAAACTGACAGTAGGTACATGTAAAAAGGGATATTTTTTATTTAGGTTCTAAAGCGTACGTTACCTACTAAATATTTTTTATAATATTAGTAAGTAGTATTGAAAAGTGTAGCAGCATTATATGCTTTTCAGTTAAAAATTTAAACTTGTGGCGCTACAACCTTTTTAGGTCTGGGCCTCAGATTTCTATATTTGTTTCATGATTATTTGTCTATGTAATAGGCAAGTAGGCTACCTGAATAATGAGAGTCGCATGCTGAAGCCACTAGGCCAACACTGCTCTCAGTAAGCCCACGCGAAATAAATATTATTATTATATATATATGTATATATATTATATTATTATAAAATATTCAATGTCACATACGAATAAACAATTAATACCCTAACCTTGTTATAAATAAAAACACACTATACATCCAAATGCAAGTTAATATGTTCTTATATTTCGGCTATAGAAGCAAGTATACGATTCGTTTTTTAAAATAGAACCCGGGTATTACCAATGACGACACCAGGCTTATACACCTATCAATCACCGTATCAATTTTATTAAGCTCTCATTACAATTGTGATAACTGCATGATAAAATTTTATAAGACGTCAAAACCTATTTCATATCGAATAGGTGTACCAAGTATCCGTATACGATGGCAATTGCGATTCCGAAGTCAACTTTGAGTTTAATTCAAAAGTCAAAAACCATTTATTCATATAGGTAACACAATGTACACTTATGAACTTCAAAAAAGAAATATACATTAAATGCTTCTAGTTTTACATTTACTGCCAGTTCTCAAATCAAGGGCGTAGAACGGACGAGAAGAACTGGCAATAAACTCTCCGCAACTCTTTTAAAACGCCAAGTTTTTTGTTTTACACAATATTTGTAAGGAGCTGCAACCATTACACCATGTTCCACATGACATCTTAAGTAATAAATAAAGTAAATTAAAAAGAAAGATTTGTCCTCTATCAGCAGGAGGCATGGTGAAGTAGAAGCACGCACTTATATTCTCGTGGGAAATACACGCATTACGGCCCAAACCCAAGGTTGGGACATTGTGCTATGGATATTACTAGAACTTTATTGGGTATTGAGTACCCAGCGCGATTGTAATCCTAATTTATTTGGTTTTCGCTTGAGAGATGAGTTTGAATTTTTTTTCATAGTTTAAAACTCACATGAGGTCTCTAGCGCTCTGAATAGGACTGACCTCACACTTAACTTGACATGTATAAAAATCTGTTCAGTACTTCACCGCGTTCATACCAACAGACTCACTGTATAATAATCAGCATAATGAACAAAACTATTTTATCGTTCATTTATTAACGTAAATCCACTGATTAGAGTGATACTTTCTACAGACTGACGAAAGTATTAAAATATAATTATAATGTTTTTTTGAATTAAGTAAAGGAGAAATCTTGAAGATTAATCTAGCTTTATAATGATTTAAGGTGAATTATTGTGGTGCTGGTATTCGAGTAGACAATGGCAACAGGAGAAAAGAAAGGACTTCTCCAAGCAATGCTATGTTTCCAACAAAAATTGTAACTATAATATTTATATTCTTTGTTTTTTTTATGTGATAATAGATAATAATCGTTTATCTAATATATAAAATTCTCGTGTCACAATGTTCGTTCCAATACTCCTCCGAAACAGCTCGACCGATTTTTATGAATTTTTTTTTCAGACATCAGTAAGTCTGAGAATCGGCTACTATCTATATTTCAAAACCCTAAGTGATAAGGGGTGTCCACCCCAAAAAAAATATTTTTGTTTCGAGGCATTTTTTTTTGTTTTTATTTTTTTATGATACAACATACAAAAATACATACAACCCTTAATTTTTATCTACCCTCTACGATCCACCCATTTTTTTATTATAGTACATAGTTATTTTTATTGAACTTATAAAATGTTTCCTGAGAATAATATACATGGCAAAACGACGTTTGCCGGGTCAGCTAGTCAAAATATAAAATTAAAGGCTTTCTTCATTGTTATTTTTATTATTACGGAAGTATATATATCATATATATAAATTAATTGTCTGTAATCTTATTTTTATAGATCTCAAAGATCCTGTTACATTCGCCCATGTGTTCACAATCCCAGACGGTTGACGAAAAAAACAACGAAACAGTATATTTTGATTATTTTTATTTACGCAAGTAATCCGTTAACACTAAAAGCTGGCAGGTGGGGTACTACTTTTCTGAAGTCAGCGAGAGTACAGCAGAAGCTGTAACCAAGATCCACTCGATCTGGTTGCCACCTGAGCCAGCTGAAGGAGTTGTTATTCCGACACCTGTCTGTGCAGAACTGCAGAGCTCGGGCCTCAGCTAATGTGTAGTGCGGATTGTTGATACTTATAAAAGCAGTTCCGACACGCCTGCTTGCGTCGTACGCCACCTATCGGAAGAAATAGTACATGTCGTTTAATAATAATTTAATTCATAATATTAGTAATTTAATGGCTTAAATATAATAAATGTAATTAAATAACTTGAGTATTTTAATATACACAATTTGCTCTACAAACTAGGGATGATCGATATTAGAAAAACATTGATTATAACATCAATGTCATAATCGAAAGCCCAACATCGATGTTCGATCTTTATCGAAAACCGAACATCGATGTTGGATAACATCGATAAATTTTGCATTAATAATTGACAAAGAAAAAAAATACAGTGAAATGGTTCGAAATTTAATAAGAAACAGAACAAATTATTACATATTCCGATATTTTTTATCAACTGACTGAATGAAAAGTAATTTTGATAAGACGAACCTTTTAATCTATTTCTTTGTTGATAAAGAGTAGTGAAGAAGTGTGAGAGAGAAAGAAAGAGCGTAACTACGAAGAACGAATGAAGGGAGAGACCGGGGCGCAGTGAATGAATACGCGTTTAATGTTTAATAACCCTAATTTGTGGATGCATTCATAGAATACATAATTTGTTTCGTAAGTTGCATTGGTCGTGCGGGAGGCCGTGAGTTAACATCGATGTTCGATTCCGTTAACGTCGATATTACGATATATATATCGAACATCGATGAACATCGAGCATCCCTACTACAAACAATGATGATGGTAGAAATATTCAGATTCGTATTTCTAAACGCAACTCAACAACAATAATATCTAGAGCACTCTCAAGTATGTCGAACTTCATATAAAGTAGTTTGTCAGTAAATATTTTTTGAGGAATGAACAAAGCTTGTGCCAGATTGTGCAAAGCTGTCACTTTCTTATAAGTATTATAAACATAGATTGATGTCTACATAAAGACAAATCGTTCAAAAAGTTCAACACAAAGTTGAATTGGAGGAAATTAAGGATCCCATATTTACTGCCAGCTTTTCAAACAACTTTTTATAGGCTTTTTTGTCTTGTTTGTGTTGTCTAACTGTTGCTGTATTTTTATTTAATAAGTCTTCTGTTTATTGCCTGCTATTGTACTTTCTTTACTATAGTAATATAAAATTCATTAATGTATTGTTGTATAAGTATATTTTCTCATGTAATGTTCTTAATGAGAAACAGTAAAGAGTAAATACCGTAAACCTTATAAAGTTCAGAAAATCAGTTTAATTCATCGAATATCAAAAGTAGCTCTATGAGTAATCAATACATGTCTACACACTAATGAAGTACTAATCGTTATAATTAAACCAACATATTAATTAAAAGCTCCGATAAACACCTCACAGCCTCAAGAGACAAACCAAACAAGGGGTTAGTCGAAAGTCGAAAACTAAATTCGTATGTAAATGACAGTGGGTCGACAAATTTAGTTTTCGACTTTCTTGACTAAGCCCCAAGTGCTATAAACCATTATCAGCGTTGACGGTTTAAACAAATGTCAAAATTTATACAACCTCGTACCTCTTGTTCAAACTTAAGAATTTTCCAACATGGCGGATATTTACGATCAGAATAATTTGTAAAATTTTATTCATGTAACTCATAAACAAATATACAGTATTAAAAATCTTCTTAATCTACATACTAATAGTAAAAATAATTAAATAATAATTAATAATTTGTTAGATTATTTGATAATTTTTTAACGTTTAACGTTTTTGTAAATATCTGTGACAACTGACAATTATTGATTTATGGTTGAGATTGTGGTAAGATTATTTGTGTTATTTCTTCGAAAGGCAAGAAGCAAGGCCCTTTAAGCAAGAATTTTATCGATGTAAAAATGCTCAACTTAGATATAAAAACTACATGTTTCAGGCACAGATACCTGATGCTTTTCTTGAAAATCGATTAAACAGAATTCATACTAAATAATGCTATGTAAAATATAGCTAATGGAAATCCGGCAATCTTCGATTTCCATTCGTATTATCAAGGTAAATGTCCACAAATCGTCCATTTCGATTTCTTAATTGAGTTACTCCAAAGCTACCTGTGTAGATCATACAGTTGTATCCAACGACACCGATACGAGCTCGAAGATTCTGTTAAATTTAAGATATTTAAATTACAGTTGTACTATTTAAATACGTTTGGCGTGCTTTATGCCAATAAATATTAGATTTGTGTGTTATTTGTTTAAGTACTTTATTCCTTGATCTTGTTTTCTTGTTTTGTGTTTTATAACTGTTAAAAAGTCAAAAGTCAAAAATCATTTATTCATATAGGTCAACACAATGTCAAAAAAAGAAAATATATATATGAAATGCTTCTTATTTTACATTTATTGCCAGTTCTCAAATCAAGGGCGTAGAACGGAAGAGAAGAAGTCTTCGCCACTCTTAATCGCCAAGTTTTTTTTTTTTAAAGTCTGATGATCTAATGAATTATATATAAATGTTTCTGTGTGAAAAAATGTAGTAAAAATAAAGATTCAATAACCATAACTAAAAAGAATAATTGAATACTAACGTCATTAAATTAGATGAATAGATATAACAACAATACCGACAAACCCACCTGTTCCAGCCAGTTCCAGTTACCAGCATTGAAAGGTTGCCATTGAGGCACAGCGTTAATAAAGTAAAATGTAGACCTCTGTTCTGGTGCAAATACGGTGTCACTTTTAGCGACCAGGTGTCCTCTTGCCAAGAACTGTGTGGTTGTGACGTATCTATTGGCTAATTCCTCTCCTACTACCCTAGCTATAGCTTGTTTTTGTTGAACTTGAGTGTAAAGATTATTTGCTCCCACTCCGGGAAAGAAATTTCCCGCTGAAAAAATTTAAATTGTGAAAATGATTCAATAAGTGTCAAACTCAAACTCAAAATATCTTTATTCATGTAGGTAAATAAGTACACTTATGAATCGTCAGAAAGAAGTTTAATTAATTGTAAATTTACATTTACTACCAGTTCGCAAGTCAAGGGCGTAGAGCGGGTAAGAAGAACTGGCAAGAAACTTTCCGCCACTCTTTTTAATCGCCAAGTATTGTCATACAAATTGTTTGAACTGGAGCAAATCAATCCCAAGGATTAGGATCATTTAAGTATTCGTCAAATTTATAAAAAGCTTTATTGATTAATTTTCGTTTAACGAAGGCTTTGAATTTATTTAGTGATAATTCTCTAATTTCGCTTGGGAGTTTATTGTAAAAACGAATACAATTTCCGTATAAGGAGTGGTTTATCTTCTGGTTGGTCATACACTCAAATTAGTTCTATTTCGCGTATTATACTGGCAAAAGTTACCATTTGTTTTAAAATCGTTTATATTTTTTGTACATACAACAAGGCTTCAAGAATATATTGACCAGATAGTGTCATAATATTTAATTCCTTAAGCTTATTCCGTACCGACCCCTTTGCAGCCCGCTTTTGCAGCACAAATCATACTGTGAACTAAATATTTTCTAAAATAATTAGACTACGTATATAAAATAATTCATACATATTCAGACATTGATAATATGTGTGCATAAAACGTAGATACGATGTTGATCTGTATATATAAAATTCTCGTGTCGTGGTGTTTGTAGTTAAACTCCTCCGAAACAGCTTGACCGATTCTCATGAAATTTGTGTGCATATTGGGTATGTCTGAGAATCGGACAACATCTATTTTTCATCCCCCTAAATGTAAAGGGCAGTCCACCCCTAAATTATTATTTTTTAATTTTTTATGATACAGCATTAAAAAATACATACAACCCCTATTTTTTATCAGCTAGTAACATATAAAAATTACCTATCCAGCTCGGTCTGGTTACACCAGATTGGTGAACAGCGTTCGACGCATCCATAGGCATCCACACATATAGCACTTCAAAGCGTTGTTTGTCGAAGCACGAATTGTAGACTGTATGGAATACGTTGTTTACTATAAATCCTACCCTGTAAACACTTTATATGTGAGACAACATTAACAGCAACTAAGTTAACGCAGATGTAAGAAAGAAACAATCAAACGTATCGCCAATATGCAATAGACTCAGAGTAGTTACAGCTTGACTAGGACCCAATCGGATACTAAAAATACTCTTTCATTGTCCTGATTAGGGCATCGAAACTCGGTCCAATTTTGAAAACCCGGGTTTTCGGGTCTAACAGTAATCAAAACCCGGGTACCCGGTTTTTTCGAGCATTTCGGTCTTTTTATTGTTTTTTTTTTAAATGCACTAATCTGCGTTTATATATCGATTTCCTATAATGAATACAAAATATAAAGGATGAGGAAGAATTTAAATAAATGAAACAGTACTTTACAAATTACAAAAACAGTTTTAATGTTTAAAAAAGTGATAAAGATTTATTTTTTATTCAGAATATCTTAAAACTTAGTAAGTAATCTAGTATTTTTTAAATCACAGACTTGCAGAGATTAGTTTTAACATTAAATGAATTATTTTGGAAACATTCACTTATTGTATTTAAAAGCTAATAAAAATAAAATCTTCAAAAGACATTTTTGTAGTATCACAATTAATTTTAATATTAATAAAGCTCTTCTTCGCATTAACAATTAAGTAACGAATAATTCTAGTCTTCATTTCTACGATAATTTAAATTGCAGTCGTTTTCTTAGTAATTAGGTCTTTCTATAATTACCTAAAATATTAAGTAAAAAGTAGTTATGCATTTGACACATTATTTAAGACATAACCTCTGACCATCTGACCAAGATTTTCTAAAGAGAAAAAAAGAGAGGAACTCTCTCTGTCGAAGAGAAGAGAGGAGCTCTCGCTGTCGCGTACCGCCATTCTCGAAGAGTGCTATTTCTACCCTCACAGTAGGTAAGCAAATCGTCTGATGGACAAGCTGATTCAGTTTCAGGAGCATTATTATCAGTAGCAACAGCTTGACTTAACTGTCTGTTCAGTTCCTCTTCATTTGTCAAAGTAGACAGCTGAATGTCAATTCCTCGCAGGTCTTGGTCTGGCGCTGGCAAATTTTCAAGAGGTATATTTTATTTTTTGGTTGTGGTATATATGTTGTGGTGTATTTGGGTGTGGAGGTATATTTTAGTTTTATCTTCATTTTGAATGTTCTCAAAATATTTACCCGGATTTGTCAAGTAGGTACTGTAGTGTGGCTGCTTGAGTTAGTATTTTTTTTGGGTATCGTTTGCCAAATGCAGTTGCCATTTTGTTACTTAGTGGTCTCTTCATTTCATCCATTTTTTTCAATGCAAATTTTAGGGAAACATCAGCTGTAAGTAATGTTGCATCGCGTCGACATAGCGCCTCGACGACAGTTTTAATAACATCCAATATTTTTGGATCTCATCTTTATTTCTCCAGTCATCATCAGTAAATACAATATCTGTTTTTAAATCAATTAAAGCTTTTATTTAAAAAAAAACATCATCGGCAACACCCCGCACAACGCGCGACGAGCTTCGCTACACCCTCCCCTCTCCACTGCTCCACACTTCACTCTATTCATGTCCTGAGATGGGCGCGCGGAACGCGAATTTAACTTGCAAGGCTTGTTTTATTGGTAGGAACGTAGCAACGAAGCTACTTTTTACGTAATAAAGAAAAATTTATCAAAGCGTCTTTTTATTCCATTTACTTATTATTGCATTCGAAGTGGCTTAAACTAAATAAATAACAATAACAAAAGTATTAAAAAAAACCCGAAAAACCCGAGTTTTAAAAATTAAACCCGGGTTTTTTTGTAATCCTCAGAACCGGGAAAACCCGGGCTCGATGCTCTAGTCCTGATATCAATTCTAAGTAGATATCTACATAAAATCAACAGTAAAAACCGTTTACGACGACATCGTTTAGAACAACATACCGGTTATATTGACCAAAATCAAAGGTCCCAGCTGAATTCTATTGCATTAGGTACTAAAAGCAGGGTTGACACTATGCCGCGGTAGGCCGGGCGGGTACGTTCGGGCCGGCACGACGCGACGTCCACACCGAAAACAAAGCCGACCGAGTTATTCCTACCTACATTATTTAGTTTCAACACCAAGACTGGTGACTTAGTTGAAGAGTACTTTTTAGAAGTTTTTTTAAAGTGTCCTTAAAGTGTTAGTGTTAAATTATACAAACTGAATCGAAAATAAAATAATTCGTCTAGTTCGGTCGGAGGTTTAATTGTAACTGAAGCCGCTCGGGGCCGCTCGGCACGTCCCCACTCTATATTTTTGTTAGGCCGAACGGGTCAGCCCGCCCGGCCTACCCCGGCATAGTGTGGACCCTGCTTAATACACTTCGCGACACTTGCCCCCAAGCTACCACACTACTACCACAGCAGGTATGCTCTCACGCATAATGCCAAACCTCGGCGGGCCGGGTGGGGAGTGTCGCCGTCTATACGCTAATGTAGTGCGAGCGAAGGCATTGTACGGGTGCCCAAAATGGGCGGATAAGCTGAACCGGTACAACAAAACCATCCTCAGGCAGTCGCAGAGAGTAATCGCAATTAGGGTCGCGAGGGCGTACCGCACGGTTTCGTATGACGCAGCGTGTGTTATAGCCGGCACCACACCCTGGCACCTCGAAGCGGAGGCCCTGAGTGAAGTTTATTGGAGGAGGGCCGAAGCCAGGCACAATGGTAATGACCCTGCGTTCGGAGCAATCAAGGCGTGGAAAATTGCCGAAGAAAACGAAGCAATAAGACAGTGGGCGGAGGATCTGGCTAGTGCGAGCGCTGGGTTCTACACCATCAACGCATTCGGACCACATCTCGACAAATGGGTGAGGAGGCGGTGGGGCCGCCTCAGCAGATCGTGCAGATACTGTCCGGACATGGCTGTTTCGGCAGCTATTTGCACAAGGTAGTCGGGCGTGAGGAGGCACCAACCTGCCACCATTGCGACGCTGGCGTTGTTGATGACGCGCTTCACACAGGATTGCCTAGCATGGGAGGTGGAAAGGAGGCCTTTACTGGGCGTGCTACAGGGTGAGGACGCTACTCTCGATAACATTGTGAGAGTAGCAGTTACAAGCTCGGACAGTGACGGCATGTGGGAAATCTTCCAGAGATTCTGTGAAGCCGTCATGCACCATAAGGAAGAGGCGGAGAGGGCCAGGGAGAAGGATCCTGCAGCCTACCCGCGTCGCCATTGCACCGTGCAACCCTGTGTGTAATCCTGGGCACGCAGTTGCTCCAGCGGGAGAACAGGGGCTCATGCGTCCAAAAGAAGGGATGCTGACGCATCCCTGCAAGCATTGTACCCGGCCTCCCCCAGCTCTATAAAACAGGATGAATTGGCCGATGTGAAAGGCCCTTGCTGTGCCAAGGTCCATTCCACATCATTCGTGGCCGTAGAGGACCGTAATATTAACGGTTGATCGCGTGGCTGGATGCGGACAAGGCTACGCTGTTACCGTGTCCTGCCCCGGGCGATTGCTGGTGGCGCCGTGGGGTTTTAGTGGGTATGCACAACAGCGAGTCCCACATCACCCTTCCCCAGGTCAACCATGCCGCGGGAGGGTATGCGTAACGCATTTCCCCACGAAAAAAAAAAAAAAAAAAAGGGCCCTGCTTAATAACAACGTCATCGGCTGTTACGACTATCGGTTTTTACCACCATCCCTTCGATGTCGTTATAACAGATTTTGACTGTAGTTAATTTATTTAATGGATGAGCGGCGGTCGCGCGTTAATGAACGAACATTTTTCTGTGTTAGTAAAAATCGTGATAATTTAGTCGGCATTTCAGTTCATATATGCGGCTAAAGCAATTTCATAAAAGGTAATTTACCTAATAACAACGTTATTATTATAGCAACGTTGACTTGTTTCCTGAGCTTCATGAAAGGCGTGGTTGTTGCAAGTCAGTTGATTAAACGCACCCCTTCCGTCAATGAAACCAGGTCCTGTAATTTGTGTTCCGCTCGAGCATTGAATAGTCTAAAATATACGTTAAAAGGATGAAATGTTCAAAGACGTTTTCATAAAAACGTTTGTTTGTTCACAGGCGGATTGATGCCCAAAGGTTTTGGTGTTAGTATCACATATTGTTACACATTCTTCCAATTGTTTCTTGTACAATGTTCAACAGATGATACTATACATGTGTTGAATGCGTAATCCCTTAAGATATAAGTAATCATGGATAAATCAAGCCGAAATCGGGTGATGGAGGGAACTTTAGAAAATTAATTTAAAAAATCTATATTTTTATATGATTGCCACTCTAAAAGTAAGTATGTACTCAAAATTATTATAAACAATTGGACCGTGGTAAAAAAATGCAATAAAATGTTCACACAAGAGACATAAAAAGATGGACACTTAAATTTTTTATTGAATATTTTTTTTAAAAATAAAGACTGAAAATTTCTTTAAAAAAAAAATCAAATTTTCTTTATTAAGTAACAAGTTACATTGTTTAAGCAGGTAGAACTCCTGAACTAAGTCTAGGGAGACTGTACATCGGGTACTCCGCTCTTCCAATGGTTTAATTAAATTGTAACTTACCAATCGTTACCAAAATACTATATACTATTCCTGAGGTTAGATACTATCACCCGACATAAGCTTGAATTGTTTATTTTTGGGACTCCCTATGTGAATTTAATTCAATTCTCACCCTTACCGGGTAAGTGAGTGCCCTGGCTATGTTTGTATTTTCAATACTTCCGCGTACAACAACAATATCGTAAGAATATTAAAACTAGTCTCAAAATTCGTTTGTTGTTATTCGTTGAGCCATAAAAGACTGATAAAGAATCTTCTGCTCTAAAGAATAACCATTAAAATATATCCAGAAATATGTCCATGTAGGAAGTTATGATCGATATAAGGGCGATTTATTTATACTTACTGCTGTGGCCGTGGTTGTAACAGCGCGGGGATGAACAATTCTGCGTCCAGGACACCCGACAATCACCTGTTCACCAGAATTAAGTCGCACAATTCCAGAATTGTCAAACGGATGAAGATATGTGTTGGTGCTTCTACGAATGAATACTGGCTGGGGTTGGGCGTAGTCTCCATTCACTCGAAGACTGCAGCCTTATTAAAGATAAGTTTATTTTTAACAGATATTTATATTTATATTTATTATTATTATTATATAGATATTTGGAACTCTTACAACTAGACTAGTTAGTCTAGTTATTGAGCGTCAACTGTGCCCTGATTGAACCTTCGCTAGAACCGTGAATAAACTGGCATTTCCAGGACACAAATTGAACGGGTAAGACTTAAGTATTGAAGGATGAAATGACTGGAATTAATAAATTAAACAAGTACCACTGCGAACGGTTGCGTCGCTCGCTGTATAGTTCATCCATTTCCGCTGTTCCAAATCAATCCATTTGTCCAAATAATCTTCAAATTCATCTTCGCTAAGGTATAAAGCCAAATCACCGGGTTCAGGCAGCTCAGGTAACAACTCTATAGCTGCATTCACCGCAACGACAAGAAATAATAATCTAAACATTTTACACGAATACTTCAAAAATCACAATCATACCTTTTCTCACGCCTACATCACATTTATACGTCTCTGTATCATATATTTAGATATTATAAAGTGATTCGTCAAATTTTATCTTAAGACGGAATTACCAATTAAACATAATTATAGGTGATAGCGTGTCCTTTCTTTAATTATATAAGAAGTGTAATCATAATAATATATCTGGATATTACATCTTGCGCGTGCTCACTATATACTATATATCAGTGCGTGCTCGCATTCTACTAGTGGTAGAATATTTGGTTTTTAGTACTGCGGTTCATGACTTAATATGCTATGATTTAAAAATGTACTTAGAGTACTTAGAAAAGATTAATAGATAGCAAAAAGTTTTACGTTAATTTAATGAAAATAACTTAATTTTATAAGAATAACTTAATTTTATAAAAATAACTTAATTTTATAATAATTTTAGTTGAAATTTGGCCATACAAGAGCTGTATAATAAATATGTCAAATGGGACAAGGTTGGTTGCAGCTCCTTACAAGGATTAGTTGAGGAGTCTTGTCAGTTACTTCAGAATTAGCAGAAAATTTGAATATTATCTCATTTTATTATATTACTTATATGAATAAATCTTATAACGTATCGTACACTAGATGATGAGTTTCACAGCGGATCTAATGCTGGTACATTCCCGTATGATTTAGATGTACTTTGTTTTCAGCTACAGATAATATCGATGTTTCGTCCAAGTTTTCATTTCAATGTTATTATTGAAGTTAACTGCAAATAAACGATTGTGGACTCGTTGCTCATTAAAAATTAGGCCCGGTACTTTATAGCGACATCGATACGCAATTTCGTTATATTTCTTTGTTCCGTAGCGCAGATTTTTCATTATCATAATTGCGCTTACCCTTGTTTTAAAAAGTTAAATATGGAATTTAGGATTTCTGTTAATGGTTAATAATGTTCATGGTTTAATTATAATTGTAAATTTATTAGATTTAAGTCTTTTAGAACCTAGGATTGTTTATTATTATTATTAAAGCTTTATTAATCCATACAATAACTGGTTAGTTTCCATTCCTTAATATTAGTATTAGTTGTGTTAGTATAAATTTATATTAGATTTATTTTTTAGTGGTCTAGTTCTTGTATGGCCCCTTTCAGGGTAAAAGCCTCCTCCATATTTTTCCATTTCTCTTTGTCTTGAGCGACATTCATCCAGTTTTCCCCGCTACTTCTATAATGTGATCTGTCCATCTCTTCCTTTGTCGTCCTTTACATCTTTTTCCATTAGGTCCAGTCCATTCTGTTATTTCCAGCGTCCATCTTCTATCTCGCGTTCTAGCAATTTCCATTTTAGCCTTAGAGCGTGTTTCAGTGCATCTGTAAGATTTGTTTTTTTGCGTATGTCAACATTTCTTATTTTGTTAATTCTCCTCAACTTCTAGATTGTTATTCATGTTTAAATAATATATCTGGATATAATATCTTGCGCGTGCTCACTATATACTATATATCCGTGCGTGTACTCTACTAGTGATAGGTTTGGTTTTTAGTGCTACTGTTCGTGAATTTTTTTTTTTTAATTAGAATTTTTTATTGGACAATTCACACAAATTGACCTAGTCCCATGCTAAGCTGGTGAAGCTTGTGTTATGGGTACTAGGCAACGGATATACATACATATTATAGATAGATAGACATATAAATACATGTTTAAACACCCCAAGACCTAAGCACAACACCAAATACTCATCACATCGATGTTTGTCTCAGCCGGGGATCGAACCCGGGATTCGCAGTCAGGGGTACTAACCACTAGACCAATGAGCCGTCAAGTCGTCGTTCGTGAGTTAATATACTATGATTAAAAAATGTACTTAGAAAAGACATCTTACTTATTTTAGTGTTTTTATTTAATTTATTTTATATTGGTTTTGTAATTGTATAATTTCTTAAAGTCTTAATTTTATTTGAATATGAAGTTTTTGAACTTTATCCATAGTATATCTTTTTTCTTTTCCTTACTAGGGTTGCCGGGAAGAGATTGCTTGTTAGTGATAAGGCCGCCCGTTGCCTCCTTAATTTATGTTATGTGCATGTGTTTGTATTACATATTATGTAATGCATAAAATGTTAATAAATAAATAACTTTATAGTTGCCCATATGAATGCGTTTTTGGACTTCATTTGAAATGTCGCTACCTTGTCCTTGCACCGGAAGGTTTCGTACGTGTGCCCTGTGTTGACTCCCTACAACCTCCTTCATTTAATTTTGTTGGCTAAAATCCCGGGTAAACGACTTATTGGAAGAAGGAATATCATGGCTGGGTAAGGAGAATGCGGAAGACTAATGCATCTGGCACAGAACAAGATACGATTCACGACTGACGGCCAAACTTTTTGGGGGCATAGATAACAATCCCAACATAGAATTCGGGATCAAAGTAATGTTGCCGTATCCTACATACAGCGATTGTTGACCCCAGAGCTGGTGCTTTCCTCGCTCAACGAATAAGTATCGCAATACAGCGAGGAAATGCTGCCGGCGTTAAAGGTACACTGCCACAGAGACCAAACTTTTTAAATTTGTTTTAATTTTAAATTTATTAATTTTTTATTTTCATATTATTACTATATATGTTAAGAAAATTGTAAATACTGTGTTGATCGTTATGTTTAGGTTTTATATATATTAAGTTTATTGTTATGACGTGATACAGTCTTAAGTATTTAAAATATGAGTTAAAAATATTTGATTTATAACTTATTTCCACTTGAACTAACAAAGGTGTTTATGGAACACAATTTTTACGGTGTCGATATTAAGCGCTAATACTAGACTCGGAAAATTAAATTAAGTTATAATTTTGTAAGTAAGATGTATTCATGTGTACAGTGATTGTTAAAGCACTGAATCTTTGTTACGGAGAATTAATGACTCCAAACACCATCTATCATAATATGAAATAGTGCAGTTCAGCGATATCAAAATTTACGACCTGTCACCTTTGCAAAATATATATTTTATCAAAATGTTGTATATCATCGTTTATCACATAACATATATATTGAGTACGTTTAAGTACCAAAAACAAAAACGTGTGTGTACTTATGTACATGCGTTAGATATTATACTTATTTGGCGTAACAAGATAAAACAATAGAAAAAAATTACTCTCATAAATTTTCCCTAACGCGCCAAAAGAAGTATAACTCCAAAAAACCTAAAATGTTGACTATATAGCTAACTTCAGGGTCTCGGATTTGTGACGGTGTGCGCGTGCGTCGTAAAAATTTACTCTCATCATTTTTCCCTAACGCGCCAAAAGAAACAGTGACGCTACAACTTCTTAGGTCTGGGCCTATGATTTCTCTATCTGTTTCGTGATCATTTGTTTTTTCTAATAGGCAAGTACTTCCGTGCCTGATACACGCCGTCGACTTTTTGGGTCTAACATATTCCGGTTTCCTCACGATATTTTCTTAACCCTACGACTGCGTGCAAAATTACCATAGTAGTTTACCTTAGGAATAGCGAAATGTAAATTAATTTTTGGCACCCGGGAGTTGAACTCATATTACATGATCTGTAGTAGCCTACTAGGCAGTAAAAATACTGCCTATTTAACGATTTCATTCAAGAATGTTCAACGTTGAGCGATCCAGGTACACATAACACACAAACATACACGAAATATAAAATAGACACTACACACTAACGCAAAAAATACGTCATGACCAATCAATCGAATTAATTACGCTAATCTAAACAATTGTATACAATCTAGCAGCCAACACAATAGCGATAAACAAATTTATGAAACTCGGCATTATTTTACTATCTAATATATAAAATTCTCGAGTCACAGTTTCCGTTGCCATACTCCTCCGAAACGGCTTGACCGATTCTCATGAAATTTTGTGTGCTTATTGTGTATGTCTGAGAATCGGACAACATCTATTTTTCATCCCCCTAAATGTTAAGGGTAGTCCACCCCTAAATTATTATTTTTAATTTTTAGATAAATTATGATACAGCATAAAAAAATACATACAACCCCTAACTTTCACCCCTCTACGATTAACCCCTATTTTTTATTATAAATGATATACATGGCAAAATGACGTTTGCCGGATTAGCTAGTAATATTATAAATGTATAATAATAATAATTCAAATGTAATTAATGGCTCTCATAGTGCGATAGGACAAATGACATGAGAGTTTCATGACAATATACGTGCATGCTCATATGATAAGTATACATAATTTAAATCAAATCAAATGATTTCTATTATCACTAGCTGCCCACGCGTACTTCGTTTCGCTTTATGATTTTTTTACTTAGCCTACCTTTTTAGTAGGTACATACTATCATACTAACATACTTATGAAACATCTTGCTATACTAGAGACTTTTCGCTTCTTCGGGTTAAAAATCTAAGTACAGTAAAACTAACTTTTTCCAATTTTTCTATCCATAAAAACCTTTCTCAGATAACAAGGAGTAAATAAATAAAAAAATACTGTAATTGGTCTGTCGAGTTTGGCGCTTAGCAACATATTTGGCGATTCATTTTTATTTGTATAAATGTATCATATCAAACATTTTTAAGACTCAATTCATATAAATCTTCACGTTCAAAGAATATATATACCGATTAATGTCATATGCCGCTATCGGAATAAATTGTCACTCCAGAATTGTAGTGATGATATAACCACGCTCAGGAGGAAATATATAAAAAAGAATGTACTCTATAACTTTTAATAGCGACTAAAATAAAAATCTTAAATTTACCTCGAAATTTGATTTAGTTTTTTTCAATTCTAATTATTAACGCTGCCAGTGTCTTCGGAACCTTGTCCCAAGTCCGCGGGCCCCGGTTGGAGTAACTTCGTTATCGCGTTTCAGGGTTATCAAAATAATTCTAGCTGTAGAAGTAGGTGTCGCTGCAGTGTTACAATATCATTGTTTTTGCATGTATGGACTCTTTCTAGCTGT